CACATCCCCAGTAGGAGGTGTGCAGGAGGCAGCCGATCAGTGATTCTCTCTCATCATTGATGTTTCTATCTCTCTATCCCTCTATCTTCCTCTTTGAAATCAATCAATCAATATATATATATATATCTACATATATACAGAGATAAAGTTCTGAGTCGAACCGGGAAAGGCTGTCTGATTTTCAGGAGAGATGAAGGATCACTGACTCCCGCTCCCAGGCAGCACGCTGCCTAGCAATGGATAGACAATGCGGTAGGTCCATGCTTGTAACATCTAACAACCGGAACATTCTCACAGTCTCACACTCAGGATTGTAAATGTCAGAATGAATTACATACTGTCCTAACCTAGTGTTGCAGCTCAAGATAAGAACCTTAAGTATGGCTGCCTCTGAAATGGTGCTTACCACAGCAGCTCCAGAATCCGGGGGGATTACCCGTGAAGATAATGAACTGGAGAAGGGGGCCAATGGGAACTTTAGGAAAGAATGAAACAGAATTTCAAATTTCAGAATTGATAGGGCCAAAATTAAACAAGATTATACATGCTAAGTTGGTATTACCATGTAGACAAACAGGGTCATTTCAGGGCTGAATTTACGTGGTGCTTCATTTTAAGGGTTCAGCCTCTCACATATATTGGTTCAAAAAATTGGTGGATCTTTTGTTCACAGTAAAAACCCACAAGAAAGAGATTAGTAAAATATTGCCTCGTTAATTTTATACACCGCATGTGGAAATCTAGCACTTAGAGGACATGCTCCCACATTTTAACCTACAGCACTTTAATACAACCTAGTAATTTCTTTTCAGATTGTAAGAGAATGATTATTTAGAAAGTTACAGAGGTAGTAGAAGTGAGCCAGCTGGGCTGCGTGGGCTCAGGAAACAAGTTACAGAGGCAGGAGAAGGGCCCTTGGAGCTTAGGAGAGAGAAAGGCAAAAGTAAAAGGCCTGGGGGTGGGGGTGGGGGCAGGGAGAGGAGGAAGGGGAAGGCGGGGGTGTGCTTCTGAGAGCCAGAGAGTACACCACAATCTAGTAACTTCTAAGTTTACCGTTTTTCAATAATCACGCGTGCACACACACATGTACACGTAACATAAATACATATAGGTTGGCTGCTTTGTAACAGCATAAGGAGAAGTAGACTAGGATTTCTTCGTAGCCAATTAATCTCTTCCTTGATTCTCTTTAAAGCTTTAATCCCAGAAAGTAGCCCTTCCCTGTTTCTGGTATCTTGTCTTCTTCGTAATCATCTGCTCCCAGATTTTTCATTGTTGGATTCCGTTTCACCCTGAAGCCTACTGACTCCAAGATTGCGACCCAATGAATGAAACGTAGAGGCAGGCGCCTCTGGAGGGAGGGCCAGCTCTGCCTGCAGAATTGAGAAGCCCCCGCTTGTTGTCACTTGGGGCCCTGCGTTTTATAAGGTTCACTTCTACAGTCGGCCGTGCAGAAGGAGCCACTGGTCATTGTTCTAATCTGCAGCCACCCTGAGGGGCATGGTCTGCACATCAGGTGGAATATCTACAGACACCCACCCTGCCGTTGAACTTGACCCGAGACCTATGAGTTGTACTGACGTGCCCGTTACTTTCTCTCTGTCCCACCTTCTAGGTGCTCAGGTGACTATCACGGATCGAAAAGTAGCATTAGAATTTCTTAAATCAAACGTTGAAGCCAACTTACCTCTGCATATTCAACCCAGAGCCGTGGTTAAGGAGCTGACTTGGGGACAGAATTTGGGGAGCTTTTCACCTGGAGAGTTTGACCTGATACTTGGAGCTGATATCATATATTTAGAAGAAACATTCACGGACCTTCTGCAGACTTTGGCGCATCTCTGTGGCAGCCACTCGGTGATTCTTTTAGCTTGCCGAATCCGCTACGAACGGGACAACAACTTCTTAGCCATGCTGGAGAGGCAATTTTCCGTGAGTAAGGTTCACTATGATCCTGAAAAAGATGTACATGTTTACAAAGCCCAGAAGAGAAACCAGAGGGAGGGCTTATAGTTGGCTGTAATTTATAGGAATGTTGTCATTAAATGTGTCAATTAAGGTGTTAGCCTGGGGAATCTAACCATGTTTAATGAAATGGCTTACTGTACAAAAAGTCTAACCAAAGGTTCTCGAGGAACAAACTGCTGTGATTTTATAGTCATATTCCACTCACTCTGAAACTCAATTAACATTAAGAGGAAGTGTGAGCTTTGGTTCATGTTGTTTCTGTATCCCATATGCTCCCTCCTGATAAGCAGTTTTCACTGATACCATGAAGTGCTGGCGTATTGGCATCTTCAAAGCAGTGAGCTTGTTTTGCTTTAGTGAGAGGCTAAATCATGCAAATAACTTTAAACACATTCTGAGATACATGTTTAGCCCATTTTTTCTAATTTTCTTTCTTTTTTTTTTTTAATATTTTACAATAATTTTCTGAATATAAAACAAGTTTTAACATACATTCCTGAGCTGTTAATGCTTTCGAAACCTTTTGTCTGCCAGTTTCGGTCTTAAATAATTTTGGTGGTTTGAGATTGGGATGCAAGTTTTCTACAGTCTCATAGCATGCTTTTTGGATTAATGTCAGATGTAGGTCTATGAACAAAGGAATCAGTAAAAAATAATGTTTTAGTTACTTCTGAAAGCATGTAAAATCTTGGACCTCCATGTGCTGTGACTAGGTTATCATCTTCATAAATCAAAAGCCATAGCTTTTCCCTTCACCTTTCCCCTTTCTCAAATGTTTTTGTAGTTCTTTCTTAGGCTTTCCCTGCCTCCTCATAGTGCATAGGATGACAATGAAAGTTTTAAATCTCACCCCTCCATGAGAGGTTAGTCTCCAAGGACAAGTTCCTTCCACAGCATACTTGTCATTGCTTGTTTGGATTCCCCGGACACTGTACGCTTCCTGAGGGCCAGGAATGCTCTGCCTTTTATTTTGCCTCCCCAGTGTCTAGTAGTAAATTTGTTGAGTGGCAAAGATACATTCCATTTAGACGATATTGATCTTTGGGTTAAATGATTGCAATGTTGTTTCATGATTACCTTTGATAGACTTGATGAATGAAGTCGCACACCCAGTATTGCCCTAGCTGGTTTGGCTCAGTGGATAGAGCGCTGGCCTGTGGGACTGAAGGGTCCCAGGTTTGATTCCTGGTCAGGGCACATGCCCAGATTGTTGTCTCAATACCCAGTCGGAGGCATGCTGGAGGCAGCCGATCAATGATTCTCATATTTGATGTTCCTATCTCTCCCTCCCTTCCTCTTTAAAATCAATAAAAATATTTAAAAATAAAGGTGAATTAAAAGTTCTGAGCATTCTGTGGTGTATCAGTTCAACACAATTCTGATAGATGCCCAAGAAATAGAAATACCCATTATTTACCAAATCCATGAAATGCCAGTATTGTACATGAACCTGGTCTTTTAACCCCTTGAGTGCCGGGGTCCTCCTGTCTTTCGCCAAAAGTGCCGGGAGTGCTATCAAAGCTTCGAAATGGCGTCCAGTTCTAAGTCTGCTTTTATTAGTGATGATGATATTGCTAAATATGTCAATGTAGTAAAGGTTTCCTTAAGTTTTTGAATATATAACTTCATTTACTTGCGATTCATATTTTTTTTCCTAAACTGCTGTAAAATCAGCAAAAATGCCTTGGCAATTTTAGCACAGTTCCTAGGATATTGGCTGGCACTCAAAGGGTTAAAACAAGTAAAATAAGAGCCCTGCAGTATCAGCACTAACGGAAGGCCAATCACATTCAGGCATGCTATTAGAAATCATTGTATTAATTGGAATTCAGCTCCTTTGCTTTAAAATTCCTAAACTTTGGCCTGCCCGGCATGGCTTAGTGGTTGAGCATTGACCTATGAACCAGAAGGTGAGGGTTCAATTCCTGGTCGGGGCATATGCCCGGGTTGTGGGCATGATCCCCAATGTGGGCATGTAGGAGGCAGCTGATCAGTGATTCTCATCACTGATGTTTCTCTCTCTCGCTTTCTGAAATCAATAAAATAATATATACACATAGGTATCTATATCTATGTAGATATACATACACACACACACACACACTTTGAATGATAAATGTAAAATGATTTGGGGTGGAGAGCTTCAAGATGCCTAGATGCTCTACCAAGAAAGCATTGATTGGGTTGTTTTACATTTTCATAAAGCATTATAAGCCCTGGCCAGGTAGCTCAGTTCATTCATGTCCGTTGTCCCTATTAACATCACCCTTTCACTCTCAAAAATGTCTGACTGTATAATAAATTATGTGGTGGCCACTCTTTGTAGAAGAAAAAAAAAAGGAAGTCAGATAATTCCTTTAATACAGTGGCAGGTGTAACAGGCTTCATAAACACATTGTGACAATTTAGAAGTACTCAGAATAAATGCAACTGCTGTTTTCAGAAACTGAATAAATAGTATGAGTCTTTTATTCATATGCTTTAAGCAAGGAGCAGATTAAACACATTCCCTCCTTTCATATGATCACAGAACTTCAGAATTATAAGGGGACCTGAGAAGTTAGCAATTATTGTTCTTCCAATGCAAACATGCGTTTTATGACATCAGAGATAGTTGGTCACACGTCTCCCATTGGTTGTCTCAGTAGAGCAGTAACATCTCCGAATCTTCAAATAGGCACTGTTCAATCTTACTGAACAAAGAAATCTTGTGCTAAAAATTAGGAAGACAGTAAAATTAACTGAAGATAAGTTCTTGTTGCTTGAATTAGTTTCCTGTTGCTCTGCAACACAAGCTTGCGATATATTCTAATGTAACTTTTGCTCATTTAACAAAAGTAATAAACGTAAGTCCAAGAAAATATAGCTTAACACTACTAGCAAAAAACAAGATAGAGACCCCCCCATCCCCAAAAAAGAGACTCTGAGTTTTTAAAAGCATGTTTTATGAGACTGCACATAAATGTGTGTAAAAGGGCAATGACAGTTTTTACCACAAAGATTACAGTAAGAAAAAGGACTTTATGACAATATTTCACAAATTCACAAGGATCACTTTAATATACAAAGCAATGCTACCATTCTGAACACAAAGCAGCTATGTACATAGTGTTAATAAAATGCTTTATAATTCAGTACATTTTATTTCTTTACAGATAAAGCACAAAAAGATTTAAGTAAAAAAATTAAAACAGGGATGTTTCTAGAATGTAGGAAATTGTATTAGAAATGTATTTTCCTCATTATAGTTCTTTAGTATTCAACTCCAATAGCAAGATCAGAGTTGAAAATCAATACCCTGTTTTGTGCTGATAATTTTTGGGGGAGGTATTTGTTACCCCAGTCCTCAAAGGAAAACCAAAAAAAGCAAACACTCTCTAGAAACTTCCCTGATTATTGTTTCTAAAAATTTTCAAGTGATACATCCAGGTTAGGATAATTCCTTTTTTGGGTGGGGATGATAACCAACATGTGGACAAATCAGTTAGGGACAACTTTACATTGGAAAACTGCTAACTAGCACTCTTCTTTGCCACCCCTAATCTATACTCACAGAAAAATGTTGACAAATTATTTCCCACTTTTAATATAAATAATTTTATTACACACACAAATTGGAGTGGCACCTGGATAAAAATACGCCTATAAAGTATTTACCAATTCAATTTTAAAAACGTAAGAAAATAAAACCTCCCAAACACAATGCTAGATCATTTCACTTGGCCAACTAACGTAAGATCGTATCTGCAGGGATTTTCTCCCGTCCTTACCAATTTTTCAACTACCTCAGATTTACTTTCACATCTCTGAAATGCTTTTCAGACAGAAGCTTGGAAATGCTATACTTCTGTAGGCAAGCATTAAATAATGCCTGTATAAAGTCGGTAACATTTGAATTTCCTACTGCTTGACCCTTTGCAGACATTTTCTGAAGACTGTTCCTTTTTCTTTTCCTTGCTGGTGAGAATTAAAAATGTATCGTTATACCAAGCTAGGACCTGCACCCACAGTACCAGAATGCAGACAGGTCAATATTTTCTCTGTGCTAAACAACTCTGCCTGTTTTATAATATCAATTTTGCTTCACAGGCTTTGTTCTATTCCCCCCCCCCTTTTATTTTTTTAAAAAATAAATTTCAAGCTAAAACACCTGAAATATAATCCCTCCATTCAAACGTTATCTGGTCCCTCTTGAAGTCTGCCCCTGAGGACACAGACAAAGGCTTAAGCTACATTCACTAATCAGTAAGAACTTACCGTGAGCCTGAGACAGATGGAACTGCAGCACCCTGTTTGATTTATTTTAAATTCTTCCATACTGACTCAGCTTCAGGATATGTTCAACCCCGCAGGGATTAGTGCCTCTCTTAGCCAATGATTCTAGAAAGTCAAGGAAACCAGTTCCTAGTACATACAGTGACTGTGCAGTCAACTTAAAAAAGTCAACACATCAACATTAAAAGTATTCAAGATGTATGAAGTCACTTCAAGTAAGCCACTCACAAAATTCTGGTTGTGCTTTATACAACGGAGTGAGCAAATTTTATCCCACAGCTCTTCATCTAAAGCAGTGGTTCTCAACCTTCCTAATGCCGCGACCCTTTAATACAGTTCCTCATGTTGTGGTGACCCCCAATTTCATTGTTACAAATTGAACATAATTAAAGCATAGTGATTAATCACAAAACAATATGTAATTATATGTGTTTTCCGATGGTCTTAGGCGACCCCTGTGAACGGGTCGTTCGACCCCCAAAGGGGTCTCGACCCACAGGTTGAGAACCGCTGATCTAAAGGCTTACTAAACACATTTCTTTCTCCCCCCTCATCTGAAATCAGTCAAATTTAGGCAGCATCTCTTTGATGTTAACCAGGCCAATTTTAAGAGAAATAAATTTACTCAAATGATTACATGTGGTCTCCACTATGACAATAATTGCCTTGAAAATTCTTTTACCATTCTGGACAAATCCATGGATATCTTGGCATCCTATAAATAGTATTAATGTTGGGGTGAGGATAAGACACTCATTTAAAATTGGAAATATTTATTCACTTGAGTTGCTTTTCTTTCTATCTTTATCCAAGATGAAACCGAATAAGGGGTCAGGCCTCATCTTCTAATTAATGGGGCTAGACAAATCTAATTTACTGGTATTTTTCTTTTACAACTATAAGGCTAGACTGTAGGTGCTACAATATTTTAATCAATGAAAAATTTTCATTTAAAAAAAGTCCCATTATTTGAAGAAAGGAGAAACACATAAAAAGTCAGTTGACAATTAATTGATGAGGGAATTTCTCAAGTTGATAATACCCAAACTGGGTAATTTTTAAAAGTGCAAGTTACACCAAACATTTACAAAGAATATAATGTAAATATAATCCAAACAAATATACAACTTTTGTATTAAGTCAATGGGAAACAATATACCAACAGTCTTCAGGGCTACAAAGGCAATAAAATAAAGCCTCTTGAAAATAACTAAAAATGTATATAGTCACTGTTTCTAAAACACACTTTAATGAAAAAAATCTTTAAGATATAAGCTTTATTTAATCCTGCAAAATGAAGCAGCCTTTTTTATCTTCAAAATAAAGAGACGAATTTATGCTGACTGTAGCTGATCACAGAATTTAAAACATAATAAAAATGAAAAGAAGAAGTCTAGATTGAAGACACTTCAAGTAAGTAAAAGCATCCTGGTTTAAACAAACTTGTTTCTTCCCAAGCCTTTGTATGATTCCACATGTCACCCAAATGGTCAAAATGATACTAGGGATTAGGCCTGAGAGCCAGAGATAAACTTCAGCCAGATGACTTCTGATTGGACAGCCTGCCTGGCTGGCATTGTGCTTTCAGATACTAGCACTGCTGCTGACCTTCCATCAAAACACATATCCTGACAAAATCCCTGCTCAAATGAAAAGACCAGAATTCCTCCCCCAGGATGATTTCTGAAATAGGACCAGTACCTTCTAGAAGCTATCTTTAAATGTTCTTACCACTGTTATAGCTGCCAGAGACAAAGATAAAAACCAAATACTCTGGGGTGGAGGGAGTTTTCAAGTGACTAGTAACATGTTTAAAAGTATCAAGCCAAAGAAAACGAACAATAATTTAAAAAAAAAAACACTTGGAAGAAAATTAGAAGACAAAAATCAATCATGAGCGCTGGAGTAATGCAGTCCAAGAAACTACCAAAAGGTATGCAATAGAACACGCAAAAATGTAAAATTTCATCTAACTTCAATATACTATAATACTCGGCATTCCTGACTTAAAGAGCTCTCAGAGCTTCAGATTATATACTGTATGTATATATATATATATATGTACACATATATCATACAAATGCCATTCCCCCCAAGAATATCTAAAGAACACAGCACCCATGACAGTATTATGGTTGCCAATATGGTACTTGAGTTTGAAAAAGAATGAACTTAAAATTACATCTGATATCAATTTTTAATGTGAACACATTGGATCTAGCCCTTTCTAAACCACTTTTTAGTTAAACACTATCAAAGCTTGAAAACTAATAAGAGTAATATCAAAAATAAACCCATCCACTTCATCTCTATTCATCTGTCCTATAGATAAAAGTGCCACATGGCCCTATGTTTGCAAAGTGATAACAAACTATTTTCTAGGCAAATCAGTAGCATATGTACAAATTCCTATGATAACATTTTCATTCCCTTTTGGCCAATATGAAGAGAAAAAAAAACAATTATTACTGGTAACATGGCCATTTATGTTCTTGGCTACAATATTTTTTTTTCATTATGTCATTTTCTTAATAAAAATTCTCAAAGTTGCATGCATAAAAACTAACCTTTTCCCCAATTCTTTTTTTTTAAAAAAAAAGGTCTGCACAAAAGATGCTTAATTTCTATAAACTGAAATCTTCAAGTCTCTCCAAGGGTCTAAAACAGATTTAGCAACAGAATACATTTGTTATCTCACCATTTAAGTAACTAACTTCAAACCAGTGCAATCATCCTCAAGGTATAAAGGACCCGGTCTTTATAACTTAAAAATCCAACCAGTTAATATGGAAGTGATTGCCTTGATTCATCAGGGACTAAGAGGACCACCAAATTTCTAATTAAATAGAAAGCCCTAACTTTTGAAAAACGTGTAACTTTCCTTTATAACTTGCTAAATACTAGGCAATTTTCATTTATAAAGCTTATGACATTCAAAATGTTCACTTTGACTAATTACGAAAGAATTCTAGTTGGTGAACAAATTTGTGATTTTGCTTGGTTTCTGTTAAACCAGTTTTGAAAAATGACATCTCTATACTGGTATACAAATAATTTTTATACTATAACATTCCCCAATAGCTCAGCAGGATAAACATCAATCTTTACAGTTGTTTGAAAGCCTTGTTGAGCATCTGGTATATTGTCCAAATATACTACATCACTCAATTCTTAGAATGATGCTCCTTCATAAACTCTGTTCATCCTTGAAAAAAGACAGTGGTTTGTTACAAACAGAAATATACCTTTTACAAATATTAATTAAAAATTTTACTTAAAAAAAACTGACCCAATAATTAACACCCATCTGCATATTTTAACACATTAACAAAGTAAACTTTAAAAAATAACCCATAACTAAACATAAAATATTAATTTTCTTGACTCTCCTAAAAGAAATAACCTTCTCAAATGAGAAATGATATCTAACATTATGTCAGTCTCCAATTTTTAAAATCCACCTTAGTTTTATTTTTCTTTTATTAGTCTTATTTTTCTATTAAAGAATAATTTTTAGATTTATCAGGCTTAGTGATAAAATGAATAATTAACAAAAAGTATTGGAAACAATGTATGGTACATATAAGCACAGACTGTTCTAGTCAAGAGTTAAAAAAGGTATATCCTTTATAGAATGACAAAGACTATACTAGTATAGCATACTGGAAACTGAAAGCATAATTATCCTTTTTAGAAGAAAACAAATACTTAGCAAGAATGATAATCTAAATGTTGTAGAGTACAGCAGTCATTCAAACATGTCTGAAGAAAATTACCTCCCTTGTCACATCTAATAGTGTACTTTTCAGAGCCATATTCTTACAACTTCATTAAAAAAATTCAGTAGAGATATTCCGTTAAAGTATGTTAATACGGGAAAGATTTAAAATAAGTATTTTCCTACAACACATTTTATAAACAAACATATCACTTTGCTTTACTTAACATTTTGAAGGCTTTCCTATTGGTGGTATAATGTAAGTGCAAATGGGAACAGTTTAATTAGAAATTGTTTTTAAGTAAATGAGTGACAATATAAATATTTTTGAAGGCGATGACAAAAACATTTATTTAAAAACCTTGCTATATAACTCAGAGGGCTGGTTTGAGTAGAGCATCTTTTTACTAAGAATTTAGTACTAACTAAAACAAAATTTGTACTTACATTTATTTCAATTTAATTTAAAATTAAAATACCATGCCTTTTCATTCAGTTGGTTACTTCTTTTAATGTATTCAAAAATGCTGAACACATACAGAACTAAATTAAGAAGCAACAACTGCCCTATGGAAGAGCGGTAGTTAATACAGAATGTTTTTAAGAATCAAGGACGTTTTCAGTATTGAAGAAATTGTACATAGAAAGCACTCCAAATTCATTCTTACTTTCTTCAACACCATTCTTTAGAGGGTATTTCTTTTAATGATTTTACATAATTCACCATGAAAATGTGGAAACGTCAATTTGGCAATCACTTCTTCATTGCACCTTACTTACTTTATGCATGTGGCCCACACATTACTTCAGCTCAAGAGGCTGGGGTAATTCTGTCCCTAAGGCAATCAAGGCGCTCAGCACAAACCTTGAAATCATTAAAAAAATTTTCTTTTCCTCATTTCCCCCATCAATTTACAAGTCAATCAATTATTACTTCTTAAGGAGGATGGGGGATGAACTGCAGAAGTCTCTTCATGATTCCTGGTGCTGAAAACTTCTTGAAGGGAGAAGTGGAGGCAGGAGTTGGAACATTCACAGTTTAATGCAAAAGCACAAATGAATGAAATTCTGTAGTTGCTTTCAGGCAGTTTTGCGCATAGAAAAAAAGAAATGTTTAGAAAATAAAATGTTTATTTTGTCTTTCTGGTTGTGGCCAAGCCAGTTCTTTGTCCAATGTAACAGGTGAGATTTAAATCCCAAATTAATCTGATTTGTGGCAGTAAAGGTCCTTAAGTGCTTTTAGCTCCTCAATCAGTGTCTTGTTTTGGTTTTCAAGCACTGCCACTCTGTTTTCTAAACACTTCACATATTCTTTCTTCTTTCTACGACACTCTCGTGCTGCTTCCCTATAAGCAAAAAAGAAAATATTATGTAACATTTCTATATCACTTACTTTGGGTTGGAATACATTTCTTTTTAGAGAGTTAGCTCACATCATTTTAAATTTAGCATTTGAAAGAAATACAGAATGAATTGGAAATTGCCTTATACAAACATTTAATTTTAATATACCATAGAAGTTTGATTCAAAAACCCCAAATGTGAAAACTCCACAACCAAAAGGGCTTAACAATCACTTAAAAATTACATTTTTAAAATGTTTATTAAAATGTTCTGCATTATACCTATAAAACTTGAAATTCTATCAATATCAGTAACTAAGAAATGATTAAGGCAAATTTTAGTGTGAAAAATCATCCTTTAAATCAGGGGTGGGGAACCTTTTTCTGCCAAGGGCCATTTAGATATTTATAACAGCATTCGCAGGCCATACAGAATTATCAACTTACAAATCAGCCTGCTCTATTTGGTCAAACATTTAATTAACTCACCCCTAATGCCTTGGCAGGGCCAGACCAAATGATTTCATGGGCCTTATATGGCCCGCAGGCTGGATATTCCCCATCCCTGCTTTGAATAGAAAGATCTCACAAACTCACTATTTCAAGGCATTTTAAAAAATCTAACACAAGTCTCTTCAACAAATGATGTTGAGAAAACACACAAAAGAAGACAGTTGGACCCTTATCTTATAACATATACAAAATTTAAATAAAAATGGATTAAAGAGCTAAACACCAAGACATAAAACTATAAAACTTCTAGAAGAAAACAGTGGAAAAGCTTTAAGTCAACTGGTTTAGGCAGTGATTTCTTGGCTATGTCACCAAAAGCACAGGCAACAAAGTAAAAGTAAATATGAAAGCAAATATGAAAATGTGACTACATCAAACTTAAAAACTTCTGCACAGAACACAATGAACAGAGTAAAAGAGCTACCTATAGAATTAGGGGAATGTTTGCAAGTCATATATTTGATAAGGAGTTAATATTCAGAAAATACAAAGGACACCCACAACTCAACAACAAAATAACCTGATTAAAAAATGGGCAAAGGACTTGAATAAACATTTATCCAAAGATAAACAAATGGCCAGCAAAAGCATATAAAAAATGCTCAATATCAATCTAATCATTAGAGAAATGCAAATCAAAACTACAATGAGGAATACCCTTCACAGCCATTAGGACTACTATAAAAAACAAAAAACCCAAAAGCAAATAACAAGATTTGATGGGGATGTGAAGAAATTTGAAAACTTGTGTACAACAGTTTTGGTAAGAAGGTAAGATAATGCAGCCAGTATAGAAAACACTATGGCAAATCCTCAAAAAATTAAAAATAGAATTATCATATGGCTCAGCAATCCCACTTTGGGGAATATATCCAAAAGAATTTAGAGAAGAATACTGAAGAGATATTTGCACACCCATGTTCCTAACAGCATTATTCACCATAGCCAAGAGATAGAAGGAAAGCAACCCAAATATCGATTCACAGATGAACACATTTTTAAAATGTGGTGTATATATAAACAACGGAATATTATTCAGCTTTAGAAATGAAGGAAATCCTCTCACACACTACAACATGATGAATCCTGAGGACATTATGCTAAGTAAAATAAGCAGTCACAGACAAATACTTTATGACTGCACTTCTATGAAGTATCTAAAGTAGTCAAACTCATAAAAACAGGAAGGAGAACGGGGACTGCCAAGGACTAGAGAAGGAGGGGGAAATGAGGGAAGCTGTTTATTATGAAGTATAAGTTTTGCAAGATGAAAAAGTTCTGGAAGTCTGTTGCACAATAATGTGCATATACTTAACACTATTGAGCCTGTATACTTAAAAATGGTTAAGATGGCAAATTTTATATTTTCTTACCACAATTAAAAATAAATTTTTAAAAAAATCTAACAGATTAAAAGTAATAAATATTTTTTAGCAAGCTATTAAGTCACTAGCCTGTGAATATGTTATCTGACATGGTAAAGGGGAATTATGGTTGCACAGAATTAAGGTTGTTAATCGGCTGATCTTAAAATAGGAAAATTATCCTGGATTATTATCTGACTGGAGCCAATGTAATCAGAAGAGTCTCTAAAAGTGGGAGAGGCAGAAGATCCTATATAATAAAGAGGTAATATGCAAATTGACCACCACTCCAACACACAAGATGGCCACCCCCATGTGGACACAAGATGGCAGCAGGGGAGGGCAGTTGGGAGGGACCAGGCCTGCAAGGGGGGGCAGTTGTGGGCAATCAGGCCAGCAGGGGAGAGGTAGTTGGGGGGAACCAGGCCTGCAGGGGAGGGCAGTTGTGGGCGATTAGGCCTGCAGGGGAGGACAGTTGGGGGCAACCAGGCCTGCAAGGGAGGACAGCTGGGGGGGGGACCAGGCCTTCAGGGGAGGGCAATTGGGAGGGACCAGGCCTGCAGGGGAGGGCAGCTGGGGGTGACCAGCCTGCAGGGGAGCAGTTAGGAGCAATCGGGCCGGCAGGGGAGCAGTTAGAGGTCGATCAGGCTGGCAGGGGAGTGGTTAGGGGGTGATCAGGCAGGCAGGCAGAAGCATTTAGGGGCAATCAGGCAGGCAGGCAGGTGAGTGGTTGGGAGCCAGCAGTCCTGGATTGTGAGAGGGATGTCTGTCTACCCGTTTAGGCCTGATCCCACTGGGTTTGGGCCTAAACGGGCAGTCGGACATCCCTCGAGAGGTCCCAGATTGGAGAGGGTGCAGGCTGGGTTGAGGGACAACCCTCCCCCCCCTGCACAAATTTTGTGCACCGGGCCTCTAGTATGACTATAAAAGGAAGACACAGCAAGATGCTACACTGATGACTTTGAAGACGGAGAAGGAGCCATGAGCCAAGGAATGTTAGGTAGCCACTAGAAGCTGGAAGGGCAAGGAGACACTCTCTCCCGGAATCTCCAGAAAGGAACAAAGTCCTGTATGCTGGATAATGGAGTATATATTGTGTTCATAGAATGAAAGAATCATTATTGTTAAGATGCTCCTCAATTTGGCCTATAAACTCAACATAATCCTAATAAAAATCTCAGCAAACTTTCTCATAGACATCAACAAACTGATTCTAAAATTTATATGAAAATGCAAAGGAACCAGAATGGCTAAAACAATTCTATAAGAAAGGATATATGCACCCCTATGTTCATAGCAGCACAACTGACCATAGCTAAGATTTGGAAACAGCCTAAGTGCCCATCAGCAGATGAGTGGATTAAAAAACTATGGTACATCTACACAATGGAATACTATGCTGCGGTAAAAAAGGAGTTCTTACCATTTGCAACAGCATGGATGGAACTGGAGAGCATTATGCTAAGTGAAATAAGCCAGTCAGAGAAAGATAAATATCACATGATCTCACTCATTTACGGAATATAATGAACACATAAACTGATGAACAAAAACAGATCCAGAGACAGAGAATCATCAATCAGAATGTCAAACCTCAGAGGGAAGGTAGGGGAGGGTAAGGGTAAGGGGGAGAGATCAACCAAAGGACTTGTATGCATGCATATAGGCCTAACCAATGGACACAGACAACAGGGGGGTGAGGGCATGAGTGGGGGGAGGGGGTAATGGGGGGATAAGGACACATATGTAATACCTTAATCAATAAAGAAATTAAAAGTAAAAAAAAAATTCTATAAAAGAACCAAGTTGGAGGACTCACATTATCAAATTCAAAACTTACTAATAGTAATCCAGACAGCATGATATTGATGAAAGGGGAGACACAAACCAATGAAAAAAGCTAGATAGTCCAGAAATAGACTCACACAAATACAGTCAATTAATTTTTGGCAAAAGTGCAATGACAATAGAGAAAGGATAGTCTGTAACAAATGGTGCTGGATAAATGGGTGTCCACATACAGAAAATGAAACTTGATACACCTCACACCTCATACAAAAGTTAACTCAAAAGGGATCATAGGCCTAAATGTAAAACAATTTCACACTTGCCCTGACCGGTTTGGCTCAGTGGATAGAGCATTGGCCTACGGACTGAAAGGTTCCAGGTTCGATTCCAGTCAAGGGCATGTACCTTGGTTGTGGGCACATCCCCAGTGGGAGGTGTGCAGGAGGCAGCTGATCAATGTTTCTCTCTCATTGATGTTTCTAACTCTCTATCCCTCTCCCTTCCTCTCTGTAAAAAATCAATAAAATATATTTTAAAAAAAACAAAACAATTTCACACTTGATATAGAGCAATTGGATCTCATACATTGTTGGTGGGAATGCAAAATGGTACAGCTATTCTGGAAAACAGTTCGGCTGTTTTCTTATAAAGTTAAATATATACTTACTATTCCACTCAGCCAGACCACTCCTAGATATGTACTCAAGTGAGTTGAAAGTTCATATAAAACGTGTACGTAAGTATTTATAGTAACTTCATTCATAATCCTCAAAGCTGGAAACAACTAATATGAACTTCAGGGTAAACCACAGTACATACATACAATGAAATATCAGAGAAAAAACCAATTATTGATTCATGCAACACAGTTAATGGATCTTAAATGTATTTTGCTAAGTGAAAAAAGCCAGATCCAAAAGGCTACATACTATGTGATTCCATTATGTTAGATTCTGGAATATGCAACCCTGGGTGGGCTGTGGGTTCCTGTTTTATAACAGAAAACTGAGGTTTAAAAGGTTAATATATTCTTCCAAAATCACAGTAAAAGGGATAGATACAGGACTTGAATCCAGATCTTTGATGTTCAATCTCTGTGTTTCTTTCAATTTATTCACAGTGTTGATGATTCTTGGGGTGAAGAGCAGAGGCATATTTTCACCAATTTATAACTTCTTATATCTTTATATACCTCATTTTAATTTTATTAATATTAAAGTCCTAAGGTACATATAAGCAAATAAAAGTATTTTGTTTTTTAATGACAAAATCATTTACAGCTATGAATTTACTTTAGGATAGGTAGCATTTTTATTGTTGATGACTAATTCTATTTTAAGATTTTGTCAATTACAAGGTATTCTTAGACAATCTATTCTCAAAGAATATTTCAGTATTAAACTATTACTATTTTGAGTAAAGGTAATAGTCATTAAGACATAGATTAGCCATCATACATTTACTATATTACAAATGAATTTAACATTTAATTTTAATAACATACATGAAACTCTTGATCTTGAAATATACTGCTCATGAAAATAAACAAATTTTTAAAAATATATATTTTTATTGATTTTAGAGAGGAAGGGAGGGGAAAGGAGAGCTAGAAACATCAATGATGAGAGAGAATCATTGATCAGTTGCCTCCTGCACACCCCCTATTGGGGGTCGAGCCATAACCCAAGCATGTGCCCTTGACCGGAATTGAACCCGGGACGCTTCAGGCAAACCACTGAGGCAAACCAGCTAGGGCAAAAACAAACAATTTTTAAATAAACTAGCCAGTTGGTTAAAGCATAATGAATATATAGCAAATTGTGCACTATACCTTTCATGGGGAAACTGCATGAAAGAAAACTATTTTATGATCAAAGATTAATCCATAATACTGTTAGCCATTTTGTAAGTGCAGTTTATTAAATAAAGAAGTTTTAGCAAGATCCATCAATTCCACCAGAAAAAAATTCAGCACAAATATCCTATTGTCAGCAGATATAAAAGACACACACCTAGAAGAATGTGAAGACATAGCGGACTTACAACAATCTCAGTAAAATACAACATATGTACCTGTTTTTCATTAGACGAACCTCTCTCTTTCGTGCAGCTTCTTCAGCAGGCTGTGTAGGAAGCGCTGGAGAGGATGCCATAACAACTCCAGGGGCGATGGTGCTAGTGGGTGCTGTGCGAATCTGGTATGTTTGTACATCTCCGGAGGCCGCTGGAAAGAAAACCGGTGAATATGATGTAAGGCACTGAAGCACTGTGGCCTGGTAAAACTAGGTATGCAATCATCAATCTAAACATACATTTTGGATTAAAAGGGGGGAAAAAGGAACAGATGATTCTGACTAAAATGGTGAAAGAATCAGCATTACTGAGAATTACTGAGAAATAATTCCCAAATTAATGTATTTATTAGTATAGACCCTGGGGGAAAGAGGTCTTAACCTACGTCTGCTGGGTTTTTAATTTATATTTCATTGGAATGAAGTTCTATTCTGTTGTTAACATGCTTACCAACCTTAAGTCTAAAAGGTAAGCAGGGCACAGCTTGGTTCATCTTCCTAGATAAAGTCCTCAATGTCTTCCTTTGATATTGGTAAATTCATATTAAAAAATTTCAAGTAGACTCTTGCCACGACATAAAAACGACCATGATTTTTCATCAAATAGCAAAATAGAAGAAAAAATAAAGCATTATGGTCAACTATTATAAATTTCTAATTGACACAAAACTAAGTATGAAAAAGTATACCAAATGATGACAATTATATCATCTGTAAACATTGTTTAATGTATTAGTTATTCTTCTAACTAAATGATCTATTACTTGTGAAAAGAAATACAATCACTACTGGTCAAACTGCTTCTAAAAACAGCTTAATAATATGCCTTCCTAAGAATAAGGAACCTAACATTATCTGAGAGAATTTGAAGATCTTTATAAAATTATAAATATTTGTTAATATCAATTAAAATGTGTAGTTTGAGTGGAAAAGATTTATATACTAAACATGTTACCATCTTCAAACTGACGTTCAGAATTCAAATTCACTGACATCCTGCTTTACAATTTTTGAGTACCTGCATGTAAAGTGAAAAGGTGTTTTACTCCCATTAACAAGCAAAGTATTATCTTCTTCAAATATTATTTTTTAGTAACAGAATATATTCTGTAAATACATTAGGGCCCTTTAAGTAAATTATGACTCTCTCTAGTTGATGTTTTAGAATTATTCAAAAATTGTCTTCCATGATGAGGGGATGGGGCACAACTGTCATTACCTAACAGAGGCAAAACATATTATTAATAAAAACATTTTTAGAAACATTTTTTATTTCCTCAATATGCAAATTTCCAATCTGGTATAAACCATATATATAAAATATTCAAATAGTTTAAAAGAAAAATGATCAACTCTTATCCATAAAGATTCCTGAAACAAATTGGAAAAAAACAAAACAAAATTAAATTAAACAGAAAAAAAGCTATTTCTATAATTCATCAAGGATTTAACTACTACTTTTCTACACAGACCAGCGGAGTTACATACTGGTATAAGCTTTTTCAGAATACAGTGCTTTTCATTAGAAATATAAAAAGGATGATCTTAGAAATGAGAATGTAAATTTCTTTTGAATAAAACAGCAGAGAAACAAAAATTTGAATCTCCAGTTTCTTATCAGTACAACTCTCTCATTTGACACATGAAAAAAAGTGAGGCCCAGAGAAGCTGAGTCTTATTCAAGGTCACATAGCAAATCTATGCAGAATCTAAGCTAGAATCTAGCTTTCCTAACTCACAATTTCATTGTCTTTCCATTTAACCTAATACCCTGTTTCTCCTATCCCCAAATTCTAGAGGTGTTAGAAATAGAAGTTGTATTTTTAAAACTGAAAATAGTTGTTTTTATGCCATGACATTGTGGTCTAATTAGAATAATGGAAGAGTTAGTGGAAAATTTATTTATAATGAAGAAAAATTTACATTTCAACAGTATTTTACAGTATCATACTTACTTTTTCTGAGTTTTAAAATTTCAACCTTTCAAAGAATGCACCATACCTGTGAAATCTGAATTCACTTACCTTGAACAACAACTTGGTTGCTGGGCACTAAGATCTGCTGTCCATCAGTGGTCTGTGCATACTGCAGAATAGTAGTACCCGGCTGAGTGGCGGCTGCATTGGTCATGGTTAATGTTTGCAGGCCCTGTACCCCATCGGTACCATTGTTAGCCAGTTGTATTGCTCCTCCCTGGGTAATGGCAACTAAAATCCAATGAATTTTATTGTTACAAGTTTAATTAATACCATATAGGACTTTTACAACACACTAAATTCAAAGTTGAATAACTTGTGAGACATAAACTCGAAAAAATTATAACAGCAAATAACACTGGCAAGAAGGATTTGTTACACTGAAGTACTTTTCTGCTTAGGAAACCAACAATCAATTTCTATAATATAAATGCACTCTCTGAACCACATTATAATTTATAATAATGTTTGTTAATTTTTTAAAAAGTAGTTAAATGAGAAAATATTAAATTCCTTTTGAAGTTACTTGGTTTAGAGGAGGTACCATTTTGTGATCCATACTTCCTTTATTCTAGCACTAACTACCTAATATTCTGTGTAGTATTTACTGTCTCACTAAATTTCTTGAGGGTAGGAAATATGGTTTTTCTTTTCTACTTTCATATTTTTAGTACAATAATGGGCATGTAATAGGCACCCAGTAAATGGTTGTCTTAATGTGTAATTAATAAAGTAGTTCAGTAGTACATTCTTTTCTCTAACTTGCTAGCAATGCACAACCATAACAAAAGTCCACTCAATGAAACAACATAATGTCCCATGGAACTTAATGATCACAGAGTCTCTCATGGATTTTAAAATCAGAGCTTAAGATCATCATCTAGAGAAAAAAAAACTTGACTGCTATTTCTAAGTTACTTACCCAAACATTCTCATACAGAATTTTTTTTTATTATTTACTAATTAACCACACATTATTCATCTGTTACAAAGTAATCACCTTTGGCTCATGCTACTAGATATTTCACTTTATAAAAAAAACTTGAGGCCTGATGCACGAAATTCGTGCAAGGGGCTCGACCCCTGCTGCCATGGCCACGGCCATCTCTGCCTCAGCGGCTTCGTCCGGTCTAAGTAGCATATTACACTTTTTTTATTATAGATGAATTCACCTTTATAATAGAGTGCATAGATAAAGTTAATAAAAAGAAATAGATCATTATCTTATTTGGAAGAAGCAATCCTTTAGATGCCAGCATTGAGATAGATAGTTGGATCCTTTTCTAGACACTCTCCTTGTTTGAGTTCAAGTTTTCCAAAAAGTGACTAAAAATTACAATATTACATATAAAATTGCATAACAAATTTTTAACTAAATAAGTCAACATGTCTGACTTAAGCACGTTACTTTTTGTGTGTTAGAAACGAATTAACTTGGGATTAACTGTCAGCTAGCTCTAGTAACTAATATACTGAGTCACCTGAATATGGAAATTGATTATTTACTGTTCAATCAAGAAATAGTAACAGTTAATGGCTTTCATCTGGTTTACAAATGATACCTGTAGAAATTAAGATACTGGCAAATACAGTCCATTCACTTTAGCTAATCCTATAAGTTTTACTTATTTTTGACAATGATAAAAAAAAGGGATATGTAAGAACTATTCTGAGATTAATACTGCAAGATAACTTGAAAGAATCAGAAGGTTAAGAGAATCAAACCACAATTTTTCATATAGAGTTAATAAGCAGATTCTATTGTATTTAACACATACAGCTTTCATGGCTACCTACCAATGAACTCAAGGTGGGAGAAAGAAGTAGAAAACTAGACATCAGGAGATCTGGGGTCTAGTCCAACTTCCATCACTAAACTGTTACTTGAATCTGTTATCTCTTCTGTAAAAATAAAAATATCTGGTTCTAGCCACTAAGGTACAATTGTTGTAAAAATCAAATGAGATAATGTATATGAAAGTACTCTGAAAACTGAAGTCTTGATTCTACCAAACATGGTTTTTCTCAATATTTATTATATAATAATTATTTCTTGATTATTCCAAAAGGATTTTAGATAGCTTTCAATAAAACTAAGTTCATTAAAACAAGAAGAAAAAGATAGAAGTCAAGACTGATGTGTCTCTAGGTGTATGTAATAACCTTAGCAGAAAATCTAGATAGAAAGAATGTAATTAAACATAAACTTAGCTGAGATTCTCAGTAGCCAAAATAAACAGGAAAACATTATGGGTTATAGTTTTGCTCAATGAAACAAAAAATTCAAGTTCAAAATGATAGACACATGTTTTCTAACTAAAAATAGAATCTTTCAAACAAGACTTTATAAACAGAGACAGTGAATCAAGTATGAATAAAATTAGTAACCGTATTAATAAAAACCATAACCAATTTATGGAAGGAACAAAAATTGGTGCAGCCACTGAAAAGGGCAACTGGGAAGGATATGCTTTGATTCAATAAGTCTACTCTTTGGATGCTACTTTACCGAGACATTACTACATATATAAGAATGTTCACGTAGCATTATTCGAAACAATAGAGATGTTCTGTATGTTCATCAGTATGATGTGTGGGAGACTGTTTAACTAAATGTTCTACTTATACAATAAAAAATGATATAGCTGTTAAAGACATAATACACAAACCCTATGTATATATTGTCTATATAAATAATGTAGGTCTCACTTGTATAAAAATACATGATAACATGTGTCTGTATAAATAGAAGGAAAAAGAATGAAAGAATATATACCAAATTCTTACTACTGGGAAAGGATGAAAAAGAATTTTACTTTTTATTAATACTACTAGAGGCCTGGTGCACGAAATTCGTGTGCGCGGGGGGGGGGGGGGGGGAGTGTGTGTCCCCTCAGCCCAGCCTGCACCCTCTCCAATCCAGGACCCCTTGGGGTATGTCTGACTGCAGGATCGGGCCTAAACCGGCAGTCGGACATCCCTCTCACAATCCTGGACCGCTGGCTTCTAATCACTCGCCTGCCTGCCTGGTCGCCCCTAACTATCCCCCACTGCCGGCCTGGTCGCTCCTACCCCCGCCCCCCACCGGCCTGGTCACCCCCAACTGCCCCCCCTTGCCAACCTGGTTGCCCCACGCAGCCTGCTCCCTGCCGGCCTGGTCGTAGGCAGCCATCTTGTGAAGGCGTGAAGGTTAATTTGCATATTATCTCTTTATTATATAGGATGAACCTATACCACTTGAATTTTCACAACCATGAATTTGTTATACAGTGGGGCCTTGACTTACGAGTGTCCCGACTAACGAGTTTTTTGAGATACCAGCTGTCTCTCGGCCGATTTTTTGCATTGAGTTGATAGAGTAATTTGAGTTAACGAGCTCCTTAATGAGCTCCTTAACAAGCTCGGTCTCGGAACGAATTAAACTCGTAAGTCAAGGCCCCACTGTATAAGAAATATATAAATGTTGTGTATGTATAAGGAGGCATTATATTGGTTCTTAATGACAATCAAGAACATAACGTTAAATCAGTTCCATCAAGGCCATGTGTATACACTCAGAATAAGAGAGAAAGATAATGATTAAGATTTAAAAATCTCAAATTATTAACCTTTTAAAACTAGTACTCTCCTCAGTTGCTGGAGGAGAGCAGTTTGCCAAATCAAACACGGACTTTTCTGAACTTTGCTTTCCTATTTGAGATTCTGATCTGCGTCTTTCCTAAAGAGCATGCTTCCTAGTTCAAGTCGGACGCTCCACTAGTGCATCACTGTCACTAACAGGAGCATGCTATCTCCCCCAGGCGTGCTCAAGCAGGAGGAAAATAAAGGTCATGTATCTATGTCTTAGAATACACATCTTCAATAACACAAATTATCTGGTTATAAGGTTAAAAAATACACATGTACATGTACTTAGATAGTACCTGTTTATCTCTGCTAACAAAGAACTTGAGGAAAAAGATAACTGAACTCTATTAAATTTACAGAGTGGACAAGAAGCTTAGTAAAAAATGCCTTCCTTCTACTTACTATGAAAAGTTTCAGCTTTGAGAGAGCTAAAAAGTCTGCTACTTGCAAATTTGTTGTTAATCCAGCTGAAATGCAAACCAAGTTTGAGTTATAACTGGAAAACTATTAACTTGGGAGTCAAACTTTTATACATATTCCTGACATAGGCTTCCCCAGGGCATTAGAAAACTAATGCAGGAAAGGAGTTTCAAGGTGTACATTTACTTTATAATTAAGGAAGGGATGGGAGAAAACAATGGGCAGTACTGAAGTTAATGAACAAATCAAAAGGAAAATATCATGAATATGAGGCACTTTGGGAGACAAAAAGGTATTAGGAAAAGAGAACAAAAAGTACCACTCACACAAATGCCTTTGATCAAACAAAAGCAGAACTCAAAAGTACTTTATAACAGATTTAGGTGAAAGATAGGTATTATAACAGAAATGGAAACTTTGAATTTTGCAAAAGACATCTTTGCTTTCTATAAGCCAAAAAGGATGTAATTCAGCAGTCCTAATGCTTTCATTATTATAATTCACAACACTACCTTTCATATTAAAAGGAATAATAGCCCCGCTGCGGTGGCTCAGTGGTTGAGCGCCAACCTATGAACCAGGAGGTCACAGTTTGGTTCGATTCCATTCAGGGAACAAGCCTAGGTTGTGGGCTTGATCCCCTGTAGGGGACATGCAGGAGGCAGTTGATCAGTGAATCTCTCTCATCATTGATGTTTCTATCTCTCCCTCTTTCTTTCTCTCTGAAATCAATAAAAATATATTTTTTTTAAAAATTAAAAACCTGAAGTAGTGGTTCAAAAAACTTCTAAGACTCTCCATGCATCGGCATAAAACATAGGGCCATCTAAAGGGCTTACATACTTGAGCAATCCAAATTAAAACCCTGAAGAAAAGAAAATACTGCCATTACAGAACTTTGCATATTGAACAGTGAAGGAAATATAATAATGACAGCAAGACTGAGAAAAGAGTTGGCATTTTTATAATTCCTTAAAGGAGTACGCAGACATTAGTTTTTCATCTCACTTTCCAAAACAGAAATATCTGTTACTCACTATACTGTCCACTGCTAGTTTGGTAAATCGGCGTTGGCACCGTTACAGTGGTGATGGCGGGTGCTGAAGTCTCCTCTTCAGACTTCTCTTCTTCAATTCTTGGCACTCCTGGTGCATCAGAAGATAAGTCATTCAAAATTTTCCTAGAAAAAGAGAATTATATTAATTAAAATAAAAGTGACATTTATTAGCTAAAAACAATAATAGGAAAAGATCAGAAAACTGGGAAGAAGCTGCTAGTACATAGGACTAAAGTTTAAAATATAAAAATTTATAAGAATAAACTAAAAAAGGATCAGGGATTTATATGTCAAAATGAAACCATACCAGGACCATATAAATACAGATGAATTTTTCTTTTATATATATATATATATATATATATATATATATATATATATATATATATATATATATATATTTTATTTCAGAGAGGAAGGGAGAGATAGAAACATCAATGATGAGAGAGAATCATGATGAGAGAGAATCATGGATCGGCTGCCTCCTGCACGCCCTACACTGGGGATTGAGCCCGCAACCTGGGCATGTGCCCTTAACTGTAATGGACCATTCAGTCCGCAGGCCGACGCTCTATTCACTGAACCAAACCAGCTAGGGCCAGATGAATTTTTCTTAAACCTGAATATAAACACTGTGATTAAAAAATCCAGTTGCAAGTAAAGAAGAGATTAATAAAAATAATTAATGAAATTAATTAAAAAATCATTTTGTGTGGCAAAGAATATAAAAAATTAAGTCAAGAGATATCATCAATACTAGGAGAAAATGTTTACATATATTACATACAAAAGGGCCAATATCCCTGATATATAAAGAACTCTTAAACATTGATGGGGGGGAAAAAAGATCAAAGCTGTGAGAAAACAGACACTCATACACTAATGTTGGGAGTATAAAATCAGAATAACTATTATGGAAGGAATTCGGTAACATCTAACAAAACTATGTTTACATAGCATTCTCCTAGGAATTTACCCTTAAGATATACTTCCAACAGCATGAAAATATTAAGGGTATTCATGGTAGTACTGTTTGTAACAGCATATACTGGAAACAGTCTATATGCCCACACATAGGAGAATGGTTGAATAAACATGGTTCATCCCAATAATGGATACACATGGTACCTTTAGTATATGAAAATAAAATAGGAAAATATACATGTATCTCCTTGTCTGTTCAAGAAAAAAAGAAAAAGAGAGAGAGGGTAAACAGTTTGATGAGATTAGTATCTACTGAAGACGGTTGGGAAAAAAGTAAAAAAGTGTAGAAGAAATGAGTGAGCAGGGACACTTCTGAGTATATGTATATATTTTTGGTACAATTCTAACTTTCAGAATCATGCTAATGTTTTACATATTCAAAACGAAAGAAAATAATATCAACAAGGATGGGGAAAATTCTAAAAATGGAATATAAACAAAAACAAATGAATTTTCTCATATTTCAAATTAATAACATGACAGAAGAGATGAAAAAACCTTAACCCAAGTAATTTTTGACATCTTAAATTTCCAACAGTCTGCATTAGTCACTTAGCTTTAACAGTCTACCCAAACTCTGCCCTTTTATGTTTTTCTGTCACATCTTCAAAGTATGCTCATTGACAGATTTATAATTATTGTTGTATTTGTCTTTCAAATTATATAGGAAAAAAAGAAATTACAAGGCAAAACTATAATAATCCTGGCTTTTATATTTATCTATGTAATTACCTTTACTAGTATTGTATAAAATATTCTATTCTCTTTAAATAATTTCCTTTCTCCAAAGTTCCCCTCTGGAAATTCTATAAATGCTGACGCTCTAGCCACTGAAGAGTCAAACCAGTTCAACCAGGGTTGAACTTTATTAAACTCTAAAGTAAGCTTATGAAGATTTGCAGAATTAATTTTCCTGGAGATATTGAATATGAAGCCAATATCTAAATATAAAAAAAATGGTTTGGTTCATCTTTGGAGGCAAAGCATGGACCAGGCAACTTCTCTAGCTGAATATTAAAACTACAATAAGGTGTCCCTAAAATTAGGGGGTATCAGCAAAGCATCACCCTGAAACAACTATTAACAGTTATCTGCCAAGTACCATCGCACAAGAAAATGGTTGGCAAATGTGTTGCTAAGTAGATGAATAGTACAGTGTCAGAACTGGCATGTAACTAGAAAATACTATAACCTTATTAAGTGTATTTCAAACCTTTAAACAGAAAAGCAGTAGCCAGCATAATCTACAAAAACAGAAGCAGAAAAAAAAAATATCAGTGTTTATCCAGCACTGTTCAGAGTAAGAAGTGCTCTCACTCTGCATGATAAGCTTCCAAGTTATTTTACTAAAGATGAAGAAAAGTAAGCTACTGGGTCCTGAGCTGAGCAGCTAATTGTTTTCCCGACATCTCTGATTTTAACTTCTTTTGACTATTAAATGCCATACCTGTAGGAAGGCCTCCTTGAAAGAATCTCTCTTCGTTTTTGGGAATCAGTTACACTATCCACTGACTCCTGTGAATCTTCACTTTCTGCAATAGTTGAAATCTGAAAATAAAGAACTTTATCTTGATAATCAAATTTCATTCCCATAAAATATTTATGAATTTTAAGAAAAAGTCAAATACAAAAGGACATACATAAACCATATACATGCTTCAGTAGATTAACAAAATCCCTTTTTATGAGAGACCTACACGGATCACTTTCCCCTCCCATTTACTTATTCTATAGAAGTCAGAGGACCTAAAAAATTTGTCAAAACCACACTTCTGTGATATCCAAATTCAGCTTAATCTCTTTCAGGACTTCTTGTAATCAATCCTGAATGCATCAATAGTCCCTGTCAGTTGTTTTCTTACAGTTGTTAGAAAAAGTTTACCAAGTAAAATAAAGTGTCTGACATGAAGGTAAGAAAAAAATGACTAAATATTTGGTCATATAAGTCTATACAGTGACTATACAAATACTTTCCTTAACTACTGTGAAAACACTTATAAATATATTTACAAGGGTACAAATAAGATTGGTGATACCCCAACACATTCCAGATGGTGGTTTCTAGTAAGTTAGGAAAAAGCTCTGTTACATATAGATATGGTTCAAAATTGGTAATCTACAATTTTTATTAAGCAAACACTCAAAGACCTGTGCATTTCTGGAAAGTATCCCTGAACTGAAAAGTAATGAAGTTGAATAAAGATTTTACATGAGATAATAATAAAAGGAGCAACTAGTATTTCTTACTATATGCCAAGTGCTCTGCTAAATATATCTATTATGTTATTTAATACTCACTATAATAGTAACATTAGGTGCTGGGTAAGTGTGATTATTTTATATATTTTATAGACAGAAAAACTAAGGCACAAAGAAGTTAAGTAACTCACCCGAGCCACAAAGCTAGGAAGTAGTGGAGTCACTGTCAGTACTTGGCATCTTAGTTTTAGACATCCTTACGGGCACCAAAATCCTATTGGTTCCAATCTCAAACCAGTTTTTTCAGAAGCAGCAACCCAGACGTGTTTTTAGACCTTTTTCAGACTAGAAGTTCATTCACCTAGGCAAGCTTTCTGTCAGATTTATACTGCCAAGTTTCCCTAGTCTGCTCCAACAGGAGCCTCCTACTCTCTCCTGAACTAGGTGTGCACGATGCTGTCAGAGTGAGATTTAGATTTAAACAGAGCAAAAGGGTCTATGTGGGTTAGCTCCCGGTCAAAATGTATGGCAATAACAATAAGAAAAAACATATTCGGAGGAACCAGAGAAATCCCAAAGGTACTATGTACATCAAGCATGTCAAAGTCAAAGGCTAACACGGGCCAAATAAACAAGGTTTAAGTTTATATGGGCCGCAAAAAAACAAAAGCTTCAATTTTCATAGAAATATAGGTTTATTTCGATAGAGACATGCTGAATACAAAGGGCTGAAATAAATGAGTCATCGTTAACATAAAATAGAACATTTTAATAAAAGTTAATATTTTTTCTTGAACATTAATTTACCACTGAATAACTACACAAATTAATAAGCATAATGCAAATAAACCTATTTTTCTTGTTCTCTGGAAGCAAAATATTTCCTGTTGCGCACACCAAGCAAGTCAGTCCAAGACTAATGACGTGGCAATTGGCTGCTAAAATATACGCTGCTAGTATTAGTGGAGAGAAATGATGCACCTGCGCGTAAGGTGTGTAAGGGAAATGAATGCAACACGATTATAGTAATCAGTCATTAGCGAACGTTGTAGTTCATTACTAATAATTATGTATAACAGGATACTGAAAAATTAAGTTATGAAATTTATATTAAAACGTTTTTTAAATACCATTATATTGGCTAGGCTGCAAAAATATTCGTTGTGGGCCACAAATTTGACATGCTTGATGTACATGGTCTGAGCCTAAGAGTTAGAGTGCAGACACTCATTTTGACAGGGCTTTGTGATATGCACTCACTTTAAAATATAAGAATAGTCTTTAAGACCAAAAATATGACAGGAACATTTAAGGAATCCAGAAATGACAGATAAAAAGATGAGCAAGGCTGAATTTACTGTGATTCTCTGCAGAGTAGTAACACTACAGTTACTGCCAAAGGAGCACCTAGAACAATTTCTCACTAATCTGTAGCTGCTGTAACTAGCCACTCAGTGTAGTCTGCACAGACTTTCTCACAGAAGTAGAGCAGATAAGGAGCTGTGAAAAGGCCTTAACAGAAGGTAAGATTTTCAAGGAATAAGAAGACAGAACACATAGTGGACAGTATTTTGTATCAAAAGTGTTTACCTTCATTAAAATTTCTCAGAATCTTAGGTCCTCTATTATTCTTTTTGCCTTGTTTGACTCTCGTCCTTACACCCTTCTTTTAAGGATATACAGTGACTTAGGCACACTCTTCCAGGTTGAAAACAACTTCAAAACATGTTACATAAACCACCCATGTGACAGTTTCAAAATGAAATAAATTAATGTTGCTTTTTGTATATAGCCTTTAATTTTTTTATTATTTATTTATTTTTTAAAATATATTTTATTGATTTTTTACAGAGAGGAAGGGAGAGAGATAGAGAGTTAGAAACATCGATGAGAGATGTTTCGATCAGCTGCCTCCTGCACATCTCCTACTGGGGATATGCCCGCAACCAAGGTACATGCCCTTGACCGGAATTGAACCTGGGACCTTTCAGTCCGCAGGCCGACGCTCTATCCACTGAGCCAAACCGGTTTCGGCGCCTTTAATTTTTTTAAACTCAGTGGATCTATTGCTCTTAGTAGGAGGAAAAAAACAACTCTTCCTCTGATCTAAAAGATTTTGTCAATTCAAACAAAAGGAATTAACTTACCATATTGTAATTACTTAGAACTATGAGGCCAATTCCTATGGATTATCTACCCAAAATAAAAAAGCAACCCACAAAAACAAAAACACACAGTGGACCCACATTTCTGAGACTAATAAAAATCATGTCAAAAAGTCCTTTTTATGTGCCCTGGCTGGTGTAGCTCAGTTGTTTGGGCATTGTCCCATGAACCTCAAGGTTCAATTCCCAGTCAGGACACATGCCCAGGTTGTGGGACATGCAGGAAGCAGCCAATTGATGTTCCGCACTCACGTAGATGTTTCTCTCTCTCTCCCTCTCCCTTCCCCTTTCTCTAAAAATAAATAAAAATATTTTTAAAAATCCTTTTTATAAATAAAAATTAGTAATTATAGCTTAATATATTTAATAGTCTATTAAAATAACATAAAAAATTACATCCCAATCTTTTTTTTTAAATATATTTTATTGATTTTTTACAGAGAGGAAGGGAGAGAGATAGAGAGTTAGAAACATCGATGAGAGAGAAACATCGATCAGCTGCCTCCTGCACATCTCCTACTGGGGATGTGCCCGCAACCCAAGTACATGCCCTTGACCGGAATCGAACCTGGGACCTTTCAGTCCGCAGGCCGATGCTCTATCCACTGAGCCAAACCGGTTTTCGGCTACATCCCAATCTTAAGTATCATAGACTACTTCATTCCAATGATAGACCACTTCCTCTGAGCCTCACCCTCTATCACCTCACTTATAAACCCCTTCTGGAGCTCCTTAAATAAGTCTTTAACCTTTGCTGCTTATAAGTCAATACATTTTCAACAGCCAAACTATTACTTGTAGATGTAAAGTTTTAGATCTGTATTTCTCAACTCTCTTTACTTTGTTAAAAACCGATACCTCCTATTTATATGGAGGGGAAAACTTCCTATTTTGATGTTTTTTTTGAAATTTCAAAATAAAATATCAGTGAAAATCAAAGCACTGATAATATTAGATGCTTTCTCAAACTATATATAGTCCCCTGGAGACTGAAGTACTTTTCCTGGGATAGTTCACACTCATGGCTTAGGCAGTTTTTTACTCAGTGGATCAAGACGTTTAATAAAAATCTAGAACAATAACTTCCAAGCACTTTTGATCTGCAGATCTCCCTTATAAATAAGAAAAATTTACATAAGCATATAATTTACATAAGCATATATTTCTTATTTGTAAATTATAAGTGTTATTTTACATATAAAACAATATTTTAAAGAGATAGAGCAAGTATAAATATTAAAATGTATCTGTAAATTTCTTAAATCATTTCATTTTTAATAGTGAATAATTTGCTTTAATGTGCTTTGTCAAAAATCATTTAATACTTTATAACAGTGACTCAAAAATATGATTATAAGCTTGGGCTTTTGAAATATGATTTAAAATCTGCTATTGTTGAAAAAAAGAGACCTCTTGAGATGTAGATATAAATAGGTGAATTTTTGGCTGGGCTTACTTAATAAAACAATCTACCAGTTATACAAACTTTTGATGAGATTTATCTAGTATATTTTCATTTCCCTGGTTCTCAGTTACTATATGCTAATAAAAGGTATTATGGTTTCATATTTTAACCAATGAGTTCAACACCTACTGAAACTCTAGAGGACTTCTAAAAAGTTTGAAAAATTCTATTTCCAGGTTTTAAAAGTATATAGATTTGACTTTTTAGGTGCCAAATTTACAGTTTTTGCAGTATATTTTTATTGTTTGCAGTTTTAAAAAAAGGTATGAAAATATTTCCAAACTTTTATTTTCAAAATGCTCTCACCACAGCACAAGTTTCTTTCAAAAACTAGTTCCTCTCTCATGCATTAATATGTCACTCTCTCCCAGAAAGGATAAAAGAGATTTTCTTTCCAAAAATATATTAGGTAATATGTCCCTTGCACATCCTTGCTTGCCATCATTAAAAATACCAGAATCTTCAGAACACGTATCTTACGTAAAAAAACAAACAATTCATCCTTTCATTAGATAACTCTTACACACTTTGCTATATAACCACTAAACCTCTATGTTGCACAAAAGATTTTTATCGTTGCTCCCATGACATTACACAGTATTGTAAAGATTCTATCAAAAATTCCATCTCCAACTACTCTCCCCCTTGCTCACTCTATTTGAGTTACATCTTCTCACTATTCCTCGCTATTCCATACTCTCACTTCTCAGCCTCTGGACTTCCTTTTATTATTGTACTAGAGGCCAGGTGCTCAAAATTGGTGCATGGGTAGGGTCTGTAGGCCAGGCCAGCAATCAGGGCCAATCGGGGCCTTCCTTCGTTCCGCGCCCCTCCCCCCCTCCTTGTTGTGGTCAGTGCACGTCATAGGGAGTGATCGAACTCCCGGTCTCCCAGTCGAATTCCCGAGGGGACACTTTGCATATTAGCCTTTTATATACAGTATATAGATGGGCTAGCCTCCTTCACTGCCTTCTGCTTACCATGTTCCCTGACCACCCGACATAAAACAGAACACCCTTCTCTCCAAACCATTCTCCATCACTTTCACTTGCTTTAATCATCTTCCCAGTACTTATCCTCACCTGACATATTTTATTTTTTCATTGTTTCTCTTCGCTCAAATGTGATCTTCATGAGAATAGGGAAGTATTATTTGTTCACTGCTGTCTTTCAAAGCACCTAGAACAGTGACTGGCACATAACATCTGATCAATAAAAATTTGTTGAAGGAATGAATGTAATTTAAGGTAATCCATAAATCCTCTGACATGTTTAAATTACACTGTATTAAAAATGCATCCAAAACCAACAAATAAAAAGTGAGGACGCCACTGTTAATTTCTATACATTTATGTCACTCACGTAATATGTGAGATTTGACTCTTAGGTATACATAAGATAGAGTTAGGGTACCAATGTCAAGTAATAAATGGAATATTACTACAGCTTAGTTTCTGATATTCTTAGATTAAAAAATATAAACAGAAGTCCTAATATGTTATTCTCACACCTGAGAAATGTGCCTCGTATATTTTGGAAATGCTGTTCTAAAATAATACTATTCTCCCATCTAGAAGTTTGAGAAACCCCTTCTCTCCTGTTGGAGATCACCTTTTTTGATGTAAACTATTTCCTAGTTATTAATACTAGTCACTGTTAACCAGCTGAAGTGACCATTAAAATGTAATATATTTTATTGATTTTTTCACAGAGAGGAAGGGAGAGAGATAGGAGATAGAAACATCAATGAGAAAGAAACATCAGTTGACTGCCTTCTGCACATCTCCCACTGGGGATGTGCCCGCAACCCAGGTACATGCCCTTGACCGGAATCGAACCCGGGACCCTTCAGTCCGCAGGCCGACGCTCTATCCACTGAGCCAAACCGGTTTCGGCAATACTAGTCACTGTTAACCAGCTGAAGTGACCATTAAAATGTAATAGATTCTCCATGGTTTAGGCCCTTTTTAAAAAATACTGTTATTTATGTCTCTGTTTATAGAATTCAGGCTTTCAATTATAGGCATAACTCACCTTAATGGAAAAAATGTGTTCTTGAAAAGATGAACCCATTTCTAGAGTTAATGGCCCTATGAACCCCAGGTCCACATTATTATTATTGTTGTCACAAAGTAAAGATGAAAAATAAGAATAAACAAATATCACATATTATTACCAAAAACTGTAATTTTAACAAATTTCGTGGGTATAATTTTGGTAATTTTTTGGTGTTCTTTATAGAAAGACCTCCTACTATTAAGTGAAACAGAAAAAGTAAAGATTAATGTGAGCTTTAGAATCTTTCCACTATTATCAAGAAGAAGATATGAATAGGGAATTAGTAATGGCATAGGATAGAGAATGTAAGGTAACATTAATGAAATAAAAATGGAGGCAAAGTATAAGAGACTATAACCCATCCACTATGATTCCACAGAAATATCAAATTCTTCCATTTTTAACTGGGCAATACTGACTCCTACTTGGTAAAAAATTCCCTTCCAGGTATCTTTCAGTATGGAAATTCCTACAATTTAATGATTTCACATGAAAACATCCTTTTTTCCCCACTAAGTGTTCAAGCAAGCCAAAAGCACAAGGACATAATGAAGCGGGGAGGTAACAGCAGCTCAATGCACAAAAGGATAATATGGCAGACAAGATCTAACTAGTCCTTTCAACGTTAACAGAATGCTCCCAGGACAAAGGAGACACTTCTTCCCTCTACAAATACCCATCAGTCTGGCTACCATGCCCAAGGAAAATGCAAGGCTCACCCACAGAAGACAACGAGGATGGTAATGAGGAATCAAAGCTACACCACACAATAAATGACTGTAGAAAAATAGAAAATTGTTTGGTCTGATCTTTTATTTTTTTAATCGGAAGGGGGTGGGAGATGGGAATAGGAAGCAGTCTAACAGAAAGGAGTTAAAACTTGCTTAACTGGGATCACCTGGTGAAAGGTATACCTGGTCTCTGTCTGAAAATCAATGGAAAAAATATCCTCAGTGAGGATTAAAAAAAAAGAAAAGGCATACCTGGTTCATCACATGGAACAATATTTTAGCAATTATCCCTAATTAAAAATTATAAATTGGTTACCTCAGGAGATAATATGACCTTCCTTCCTTTGAAAGCAATGCTGGGCTACAATTTAGAGGAAGGAAGAAAAGACAGATAGGGAAATTAAGCCACAGACTAAGAGCTGGATAAGTAACAAGTTTGGCCTAGACTTAGAAGATCTCTAAGATTTTTATTCAAATCTGAATCCCATGTTTACAGAGAAGGACAAAGACATAAAGAAAAATTTCTCACCTTCCTTTCTAAAAATAGTTCTCTCCAAATCTAGGACCTAGGACTCACCTGAGTTCCGGAGAAAAGTCTTTTTAAGTCCTTACAGGAAGACTGTGAAGCAAAAATATGAAATGGGAGGCTGGGGTTATGGCCTACTTGAATGAACGTTCAAGTTTTTTTTTCTTCTTCAATAAGCTCACCGCAAAGATGTATACTGTTCTAGGTTTTCCCTACAATTGAGTAGTCACCTTCAGAGGTCTACATGCCTCTAATTCCTTTGGATCCAACTCAAAGGAACAATCTCTCTAAAGAATGAGATAATGTGTAGTATAATCCCTGACTCTTAAGGTGCCCTTTCTGAAATATCATTATTTCAAAGTTATATTCTGTAACTTAGAACCCTAAACATAGCTGGTATTACAAATGCTTTATGTAATCTCTAAATTCAATAATATCTTAGGTAAGGTTATTAGTTAATTTTTGGCAAAGGTTTATTTTTTTAGTTGCATGTTTAGAAAATAGTTACAAAAATATTAGTTTTATTTCTTAATTTTCCTTAATTGAGGTACATGAGCCTTACAGTCTCTCCCAAACATTTTCATTTTATCCCATGTACTTATTAAAGATTTCCCCCAATCAATTCTCTTTCTTCTATAGATTAAGAAAATCTTTTTCTTCTATGTCTGTTCTTAGGTATATGCATTCCTATAAAAGTGACTATACAGATGCAGCATATTCATTTATTGTAAAGTAAAATAAACTCTGAACTACATAATGCCCCTATTTTCATAACTAATGAAAGAATAGAGATATAACTATAAACCAGTTATAAAAATAGATGCAGAACTTTTGATACACATACCTGAACTGTCTGGACTTGTGGAGACTGAATAACTGATGGCTGGGCCGCCTGAATAACTCCATGGACTTGAACTGTCTGCCCATTGGGCAGCTGTACTAATGTTACGGTGGGAGCAGATGATGTTGCATGAGCTGCTGGCATAGATACCTATTGTGTTGAACATGGAAAAAAATTACCATCACAGATACCTTCTTGGGAGTACTTATGTTGAATATAAAGCAAAATTTAGCAGCAAAATGATGACCTTTTTGCTAGGTAAGTATTTCATTGGTGTGAAAGAAACTAATGATTAAATTTAATATTCTTAAAAAATAAAAAGACTTCAAATACCTCCCCATCCCCATTTTTCAACTCCTCCCAAATGACAAAAATCAAAATACTATTTTAATGTAGTAACAAAATATATAATAGACGTCCTTTGAAAACTAAATACTACTTTATTTGTATGGAACTTTACATTTTCCCACCTGCTTTCATACCCAATTTCTCATTTTGCTCTTCAAAAATATCAAGCCTGGGTAATCAGGATTATATCCATTTTAGAAAGAGAAATGCCAATCCCTCAAAGAGATTAAGTAATTTACTGAAAGTCAAGCAATATGCTAGACCTAAACATAAAAGTCTTCTTAGTAACATGTATTAAATAAATCATGTTCTGAAATATAATTGCTCTCAAGCTTGGGCAAAACTTAGCTACTAAGTCTATAACAAATGCACATTTTATAATACACAGCAGTTTTATCTTAAACTAATTACTAGTATGCCTTTCATTAATGAGGAAGTATTAATAGGTATAATAAGGTAAAAATTTCTACCACCCCCCAAATAAATCACTAAACTGGTAATAGTTGATATTTCAAGGATTTATTTTCCTCTTGAAGGAATAAAGGAGCAGAGTTTAGAAAATATAAGAGAAACCATTTTTTCCCTGAGGCACAAAAGAAGGCACTATTAATGAGTCAATATGTAGGTACAAAGGGCTCTTATGCCATATGTCTATCAGATGGTACTTAACTATTCCTATGCTAGCACAAATTTGGGGTAGGAATTTTATTTGCTCATTTGGTGAACAGTTACTGGGGACCTATATGCCAAGAACAATGTTAGACAATTTTATTATATTTTTCTAGTATTAAAGACTGACAATAAGTACTGGCCAGAGTGGCTCAGTTGGTTTGGAGTCGTCCATGCACAGAAAGGTTGCTGGTTCGATTCCTGGTCAGGGCACACACCTAAGTTGTGGCTCAATCTTCGGTAGGGGGTGTGCAGGAGGCAGCCGATCAATGTTTTGCTCTCACATCAATGTTTTTCTCCCTCTCCCTTCCGTTCTCTCTCAAAATCAATTAAAATACACATATATTAAAAAAAGACTAACAATGGAAACAAAAGCAGATATCGGAATGACAAAAGGAAATTATGTTGACAATGTATGATGTATGTGTTACAGACTTGGATGAGCAAGTGAAAACAACTGTAGTTAGGGATAAAAAGAACCAAAAAATATACAAATGGTAATTAGCTTTCCTAAAACTCAAACATCATGCCACCCTGTTTTCAAAAGTTTTAAGTGCTAGAGGACTGCTTAGTAAGAATGACATATTGAACATGTGTATAATAATTTTGCTCCTTCCTGAATCTCCAATTAAATTTCATGAAACTGATTTTGTTTTTACAGGCATAATCATGCAAGCATGAGAATGGAAAAGAATACAAAATTTGGAGGCTGGCCCTAGCTGGTTTGCCTCAGGGGTTGGAGCATCAGCCTGTGGACTGAAGGGTCACGGGTACATACCTCGTTTTCAAGCTGGATCCCCAGCCCGGTCAGGCGTTGCGGGTTGGGTGGGGTGGGGCAACCAGTCGATGTGTCTCTCTCACATCAATGTTTCTCTCTGTCTCTCCCCTCCCTTCCACTCTCTCTAAAAATCAATGGGGAAAAAATATCCTCAGGTGAGGATTAAAAAAAGAAGAAATTTGGAGGCTGGAAAGCAGATGGATGAATGGTATTACACTTAGAAGACCTCAGAAAGCCAACTCATAGGGTGGAGGCAGGGAAAGCATGATTTGCACCATAAAATCCTTAAGGGCTTGGGATCTAAGACACCCTGGAAGGTGGAGTGAAAGGATGAGGATAAGGAAGGCTGTTTCAGAAGCAACTGAAACCCCTCCTCACTCCCTGTGGAGAGAACAACTAAGGTATCCCATGCTGCCAGAGAAGTGGAGATTCCCTGGATAGAGAGTGTCTCTAGACTTGACTGCCTAACACAGGGAACTGCTGAAGGTGGAGTACTAAACCTCAGTCTTCTCTGTATTTACCTAGGCCTTTACCATACAAGCAGAGTATTAGTGAAGCTTTCTCTGGGGAACCTGACCAATGCCAAGGGGCAGAAAAAAGACCTAAAATATACGGCCAGTCACCCTAAGTGAAGCTCACAACTCATTATAAGCCTCAAACATATCCACAGAGCTTCCAACACAGCTTTTTGGTTCCCTACTTTTAAACCTGAACAGATGACTACAAATCACATTCTAATATGAAAGATGAAGAGCAGAACAAATGGAAGGGGGAAAAAGCTATAAAGGAAAATCTATGTACAGAGATGAAAACTTAAAATAAAACCTAATTAATATTCTGATATAAGAAAAAATATTGCCTTTGTGAAATATAAACAGGATGCTATTAAAACACAAATGGACTATTCAGAGAACAAAAGAAACTCTTAGAAACATGACAGGAGAAATAAAAAAATTTCAACAGATGGGTTAGAATGTGAATTTGAGGAAATCTCTCAGAAAACAGAAAAGACAAAGAGATATAAAACAAGAAAGAGATGAGAAAATTAGAGAAACAATTCTATAGGTATAACATCTGTATCACAAGAATCCTAGAGAGAAAAGAGTAAAAACCATCAACCAAATAATTTAAAGAAATTGTGCAGAATTGAAAGCATGAGTTCCCACTACAAAAGGACCCACTGAATACATAGGACAATGGATGACAAATTGTCCAAATGAAGGTCCTAGTAACCCAATAATGAAATAATGAAGCACTATGAACAGAGACGAGATTTTTTTAAGATACCAGAGTTACAAAATAAGAGATGCATTTAGTCTCAAACAGCAACACTAGAAGTTACTTGTCTTCAAAATTTGAAAGAAAAATGATTTCTTAACCAAGAATTCTTTACCCAAACTTGCTCAAGAAACCACTGGAAATCATGCTTTCCTATTTTAAGAACACAAACTTCTCAAGAAAGTCAGTAGGGGGAAGGAATTTCCAGAATGATGTACTACAGCAGACTTAGAGGACATCAGGCCAGAAAAAGATAGTGTGATGTGAGAGAGAGACATGTTGAGCGCTGTCACCATCAAAATCCCCTGTGGCATTGTATCTTCTTACTAGAGGGCCAAATGCTTGGATGAGCCCAGGTTCTTATCTGTGTATGTTTTCCAACCATGTACTGATAAAGCCCTGGTTCTCCTTCTTTGTTCCTGCACCTGGCTCATCTGAATACATTTACTTCATCCTCATGTGTCTTCTATTCCTCAAGACTGGAGGTGGGCCTGAGTGACCTCAGGAGAAAACAGATCAGCCCAATTATATTCCTGCTGGAGGTCCAGTTTTTGGCCCACACTTTAACTCAGTGTGGTAACCATCAATGGCTGGCCCTCTATTTCCTAAGATGCTATTCTTGCTCAGTGACTCCTCTAGGAGAGCTTTAAAACTCTTTGGGAAGCTGAGGTATGATATCCCAGAGCCTCTGCTAGGATTAATTTCTCCTGGGAGACTTCACATGAAACAGGCAATATCATACTCTTACCTAGCATATTTATTTTTGCTATTTGGTGTTTATATTAGCCCTCTTTCTCATATATGTTCAAACAGTTGTTAATAAAATAAACTATTTAAGGAAAAATATCTATTAAAAAATAAGGATGAGAGAATATAACCTCAGAGATAGAATGTTTCAGACAAAGACAAAATGAAAGAATCATGAATTATATTTAAAATATACAGGAAACAAAAACTATCATCCTTAAATTTACTTGTGTGTCAATTTATTTACTTATCCTATATTTTTAGTTTAAGCACATATAAACTTAGCCTTTCAGATTATCTGCATTCCTATGTCCCAAAATAAATTTGCATGATACGAAAAAAAGCACTTATAAGGTTTTCTTCCTTTGTTTAAGAGACAATTAATCTGCCCACTAGTTAAAATGTAATTTTCTGAATCATGCTGCTACACATAGGGTATCAGTGTTTAGCAAATCACTTTTTTCTGATATGCAATTGAATTAATACTATCATTTCTAAAATTAGTCTAATACTAAAATAGGAATTTTGATAGTCTAAGAATGTCTGTGTTCATTCTATGCATATCTCTGTAATAAAAACATATTCCTCTCGGACGAGAAGCAACTTGGAATCTCTCCATGTATTTAATACCTGGGCTAATGTGGCAATCTGTGGCTGGGCTTGAACGGTCATTTGCTGGTTTTCAGCTTCTGTTACAGCTGCATCTCCACTCTGCTGGTTCTCTGCTCCAGATTCCATGGTCATTTAGCCACCTACAATAATATGGAAGAGTGTTACAAGCACTACAGTGCTTTGTGCTTTTTGTGACTTTAAAGCCAAATTTCAAGTTAATAGGTATTATGTAGTGGTTAGGTTAGCAAATACACTAAAAAAATCTAGTTAAAATATAATGTAGCTTAATTATTATAAAACTTGTCCAAATTTGCTGAGTTGTAAATGTTTCAGTCCCTTCAAAAAAGAAAAACACTTTCTTTTTCCTTGCCATTTCTTCCCAATGAGAGATTACTCTACCTAGGCTATTTCTCTCTTCCATGAATCTCCCCTACTGACAAGGAGAGGGAGAGAGAGAGAGCAAAGTTATAATTTTTCAAACTATACCAATCAGGAATGAAGAGAGGGTAGAGAGAAGTGAGCTGATGATAAGGTATACTGGCTTCATGGTATCTCCTATAAGAGTATTCCCTCCTATTATGGGGGGGGGGGGGGGACACACAGAAAAATTAGAAGCTACTTCCATGTGAAATTACTGGAGGTAGGGCAAAATCAGCCCAAGTTTCAAGAGCCCAAGTTGTGGGGTATCAAGAGAGAAAGGTGGGATAATTAGTCACAGAGCCAAATTGGAGGCTCCAAACACATGAAAATGTTAGTGTTCTGATTCCTCTCACTATGTATAGTATGCAACACCACACACACACACACACACACACACACACACACACACACACACTTTTGAAATTTTAAATTGCAAAATTGTGGATAATTTTAATTAGGCTGATGTTTTTTTACTTTTGAGCCCTGCTATGCTAAGGGCTTAGTATATTTGTTGGGTTATCAGAACTGGATGGCAGCAGCAGCTACCTAGAGATGAGAGAAATTTCTGATAACTGGGGAAGCCATCATGTGTAAAGGATTCACAATGAAAGGGATTACTTCTTATCTTTGGACTACTGTTATCATTCAGTGCCTAGCATATTACTTGTCAAAATGAATTTATTAATAGTAAAAATTACCTACAATGATTGTATAAATAACATAAAACCCAAAATGCTTTTCCAGACTTCATTACATTTATTTTGTAACTCTGAAATTGACCATCAACATTTCACTGTTCCTTATGTGTTTACTACATGCCATCAGAATGTGTCACATACTAATACATTTTGCCATCATTTACAAGGTTCTATAAAAAAAAGCGTTTTACAAGTGACAGTTAAAAGTTAAAGTGGAAATATCTCTGGAAAGGAATAAAAGTAATTTAGAAATTCAGAATTCAAAAAACAGATAAAAAAGGAAAAGGTCAACTGACTAAACTACATAATTACTTAAAACATTTATATGGCAAAAGCCATCAAGACAAGTGCACAGGGAGAAAATATCTGCCACATATAATTAACACAGTAACCTCTAGAATACAGAGAAAGTACTAATCAGTAAGAAATTCTTACTGAACTATTATTGACTAGTTCACAAAGATATATGTTCAAGGATATTCACTGTAGAAATTTTTTATAATAGCAAAGAACTGGAAACAAGTATCTATCATTAGGAGGACCTTTAAAGAAATTATAGCAGTAAAGACAAATAAAATCTGTAATGACATACTTTAACAGTGGGCCATGAACATATTATAAAATAGACCTCTGATTTATGTTTAAAACAAGAAAAAATATTGTTGTAAAGGTATATGCACGGAAAAAGGTATGGGAAGTTATATAATAAAGAGCTAATATGCTAATTTGATTGAACAGTAGAACAACTGTCAGGAAGACCTTCCGGACGAAGCCAGAGCCGGGGCTGTGAGGGCCGCTGAGGCAGGCAGGGCTGAGAATTTCGTGCATCGGGCCTCTAGTATACTGTAAGTGGTAGCTCTAAATAGAGGAAGATTTAGTAGACATGTATAGGATGCTGACTTTCACCTCTTTTTATATTATTTTTCTCTTCCCATGAGCAAAGATTCAGGAATACTTGTACAATGTAAAAAAAAAATTAATAGCAGAAATCATGGATAACATTTTGAAACTATGAACCTAAAACTGTGCTTCAATAATAATTTTGAGATACCTGTTGAAAAGATTTTTTAAAATCCCAGATACAGTTTACATGAAATTACTATTTTTGTTTAAATTTTGCCCAAACTGTTTACCCTATATTTCCAAAGAGTAAAGTAATTCTTTTTTAAAGTTATCAAATTTTGATTATCATTTGTGATAGTTATTGACTTTTATACTTAATGATCTGTGCTCTTTTAAACTAAAGAATTTAAGAAAAACATCAAAAGTAATAGAAAGCAACAGTAACAACAAAACAATTTATGTGCTTTAAATGTTGTGCATACTTTTGGTCTGGGAGAAAATGGAAGTGAAAGTAATAACAATATTACAACGATTCAATAGTAATAGGTAAATGAGTCCATTTGAGATTAATACTAAGTCAAGCCAAATAAAAGCAGAAATCCACAAACTTTTCTCCATCTTCTCCAGTCATTTTAATGAAAACGAAGATAATAAAATTTATCATCACAATACTTCCTTTGTAGACAGAGTGTAAGCAACCATTTTTATTTATTTTAATAAATATATTTTTATTGATTTCAGAGAGAGGAAGGGAGAGGGAGAGATAGAAACATCAATGATGAGAGAGAATTATTGATCAACTGCCTCCTGCACGCCCAACACTGGAGATAGAGCTCACAACCTAAGCATGTGCCTTGACTGGGAATCGAACCGTGACCTCCTGGTTCATAGGTCCATGCTCAAGCACTGAGCAATGCCAGCCTGGCCGCAACCATTTTTAAAAGACTTTATCTCAATTCACCCCTCCTTTTTTTTTTGCCTATACTATCATTCATTACAGTTTCGCTCAACTTAATTTGATTAAAAGTAATCCTATACAATAAAAGGCTAATATGCAAATTGTCCCCTCAAGAGTGCGACTGACCAGAAGTTCGACCGCTCGCTATGACTTGCACTGACCACCAGGGGGCTGCGCAGGAGGGAAGAAAGGCCCCGGGCCGGCAGCTGGGCTTGATCCCAGTAGGGGGTGTGCAGGAGGCAACAGATCAATGATTCTCTCTCATCACTGATGTTTCTATCCCTCTCTTGCTCTCCCTTTCTTTCTCAGAAATCAATAAAAAATGATACAAGACCAGAATATTATTCAACAAAATTATCTTTTACCTGGAGAGTCTCTATTACTCACTACACAGCTCTCGTTTTAACTGCTGTTATAGTTATTAAATAGTTTAACAGTCCCTTTTCTTAATTTTCAGAGAAGATAAGTTTTTTTCTATCTTAAAAGCCTTCAAGAAATTTATGAATAAGGCTGTATCACTTTACACAATAAAGATAGTAGATATTTGAAAGTTTAAAATGTAGTTTAGTTAAACATCCCAATAAATGTCAAACGAGCACTGCCATGACATTTAAAATAAGAGAATGTGCTCTGCAATATAGTACTGATTAATGTGGAGGGGAAACGATAACTTTTCTGGTAAGAAAAATGGTAGGAGCAAAGTTTTATTTTATTTTTAAAATGCTTTTTATTGTTGATAGTATTACAGATATCTCCCATTTCCCCCCTTTTACTCTCCTCTTCCCAGCTCCTCCCCACTCCTCCCCCAGGTCTTCACTTTCCTATTGCCCGTGTCCACGGGCTATGCATTATGTTCTTTGGTTATCTCTTCCCGTCCCCCAACCCCACATCAAGGTATGTCAGTCTGTTCCACACCTCCATGCTTTGGGTCTTATTTTGTTGGTCAATTCATTTTGTTCATTAGATTCCACAAATAAGTGAGGTTATGTGATATTTGTCTTTCTCAGATTGGCTTATTTCACTTGGCATAATACTTTCCAGGTCCATCCATGCTGTCCCAAAGGGTGAGATCCCTTTTTTTTACAGCTGCATAATATTCTATAGTGTAAATGTCCCACAGCTTTTTTACCCATTCATCTAACAATGGGCACTTGGGCTATTGCCAAATCTTAGCTATTGTGAATAATGCTACTATGAACATACAGTGCATATATTCTTTCTGATTGGTGTTTTAAGGTTTTTAGGATATATTCCCAGAATTGGGATCGCTGGGTCAAACGGAAGTTCCATTTTTTATTTTTTGAGGAAACTCCATAGTTTTCCACAGTGGCTGCACCAACCTGTATTCTCACCAGCAGTGAACTAGTGTTCCCTTTCTCCACATCCTTGCCAGCACTTGTCTGTTGATTTTTGTATGATAGCCACTCTGACAGGTGTGAAGTGATACCTCATAAATCTCACTATGGTTTTGATTTGCATTTCTCTGATGATTAGGGACTTTGAGCATTTTTTTTTCATATGTCTCTTGGCCATTTGTTTGTTCTCTTTGGAGAAATGTCTATTCAGGTCATCTGCCCATTTTGCAAAGGTTTAAATTGCGGTAGACCTTTAGAGAAATGACTGTGTCACTGGCTGGTGTCAGATTTTGTATAGAAGCAAAGAGAAAAGAAATCACAATACATAATGGTCAATCCAAAGTAATCAACAATTACTAGGGCAAAATGAGAATATGAGAATGATGTCTCTTAAGGTAAGTACTGGGTTCAGAATTTTTAGAGTGCAATAGATTTTACTTCTACTTTATATAGCAATATAACCTGAGGAAATTCACAAGTAAATAATCACTTTTCTAAAACCAACAATATCTTCAACAGTTTACATATATTTGTATTTCAGTATCATAACTGTTCAAGTTACTGAAGATAAAGAAATATACAAAATAAAATTGTAAAACACTTTTCCTTTGTGAACTTATATTCTAGTGTGAGGGAACGGGGAGAGAAAGTAAATCAGATGGTGAGAAATGCTGTGTAAAAAATAAACCTGGAAAAGATGTTTGAGGGATTTTCAGTATTATAAAAGCTGAGCAGTGAAACTTTCATTGATTTAAAGTAGCATTTCAATTCTATACAGAACTATACAAGTCAGGGACAAATTCCTAGCAGCACTAGTTCCATCTCTATCTGCCTCTACCAAGTTAACTAAAGCTAATCAATTAAGAAAGCAAGCCTGTTTCATCAGTTTTGTTAATAATCATTGAGCAAAAGGAAAGAATGCTACAGATCACATCATTCTTTTTCCTAAAACATTTTGACCTTTAATAAATGTCCCAGTCCTTACAATCCTAAACATTCTAGTTCAATTTATGAAACGTAGACCCATCTCCCCGACAACCTAGTCTACTTTTTAATCCTTTAAATCTATGACCAAATCAATCCAGTCTAAGGGAGGTAAGTGTTCAAAGAAATGAACTGTTGTGCATTTTTGACTCTGAAGAAATAATGCAGCCATAACTAGCAAAACATATAAATGCTGACTTAAAAAATGTAAATAACTTCAATTATAAATGAGAAAAAAACCTACCCCTGCACCCTACACCAAATACATTCCTCCTGAACTCTTAACAATCCAAAAGTCCAAGGATTTAAGGAAATCATATAAGCATTAGTTTAAAATCTCCAGGGTAACCACAGCAAAAGGCACATTTGGGCACATGTCTTTAAATAACTATTCTGTCATACTCAAATGCGGTACCAAAAATATTTTGCAGAAGTACCAGGTGTACCGATTAATAATGTGGATTTTTTTTCAATAGATGGAGTTACACATATGTTGATATATATATGATTTGATATGTATGCTATTTTGTTGTATTGACAGTAAGCTTCAAAACTTCCTATGTCAAATTTTCTGAAGGTGTTAACATCATATACATTTTTATGCTTAAAAATGTCGAATTTTGTGCCAAAAAGAAAGCATTTGCAGGAAGTTTTAATTCATTATTTTATTTTGAAGAAAAGTGCTGCTGAGAGTTATCGTATACTTCGGGAAGCTTATGGTGAACATGCTCCATCTCAAGATACTTGTGAACGCTGGTTTAAACGGTTTAAAGTGATGATTTCAATGTGAAAGACAAAGAATGTCCAGGTCAACCAAAAAAGTTTGAAGACCAACAATGACAAGCATTATTGGATGAAGATGCATGTCAAACTCAAAAACAACTTGCAGAAAGATTAAACATTGCTCAACAAACATTTCTGATCATTTACAAGCAATGGGAAAGATTTTAAAGGAAGAAAAATGGGTGCCACATCAACTGAACGAAAGACAAATGGAAAACCGAAAAGTCATCAGTAAAATGTTGCTTCAATGGCATGAAAGAAAGTCTTTTTTGCATTGAATTGTGACTGTCGATGAAAAGTGGATTTATTTTGAGAATCCCAAATGCACAAAATCATGGGTTGATCCAGGTCAACCATCAACATCGACTGCAAGGCCAAATCGCTTCGCAAAGAAGACAATGCTCTGTGTTTGGTGGGATCAGGAAGGTGTGGTGTATTATGAAACCAGGTGAAACTGTTAATACTGATTGCTACCAACAACAAATAATCAATTTGAACCACGCTTTGATGGTGAAACGAATGTTCCAGAAGACATGGCAAAGTAATTTTGCTTCATGATAACACACCATCACACACTTCAAAACCAGTTAAAGACATGTTACAAGATCTTACCTGTGAAGTATAACCCACCTGCCGTATTCACCAGACCTGCTCCTTCAGATTATCACTTGTTCTCATCGACGGCACACACACTTTCTGAGCAGCACTTCAAAACATACGAAGAAGTGAAAAATTGGGTCTCTGAATGGTTTGCCTCAAAACAAGAGAAGTTCTACTGGGACAGTATCCACAAATTACCTGAAAGATGGGGAAAATGTGTAGCTAGCGATGGACATTATTTTGAATAAAGCACTTTTGATGTTTCTCTTGAAATTATCGTGTTTTCTTTGATTACAAAATCGAATTATTAACCGGTACACCTGGTATACCTAGAAACATCTATGAGCAACACGTAATACTCTCTACAATTATTTGGTACTTATTATTTAGTTTTAGGATATCATAACTGTTTGAAAGCCTTGCTAACACATTCTTAACACCTTCAACATGTCTGTATTAATTTTCTAAAGTGTTAAGATTTACTAAAGAAAGTGGTAAAACTTTGAGGTGCTAAACAACAGACTTCAGCTTTCCAGTAATCAATAACTATGTTGCACTGCCTTTTTCCCTTTATCTTTTTCCTTGTACAATTTTTCTTTTGGTTGTTAACCTTAAATACTTATCATTTATCTTTATCATTAGAGGCCCAGTGCATGGATTCATGCACTGGGGGGAGGGGGGTTCCCCTCAGACCGGCCTGCGCCCTCTCTCAGTCCAGGACCTCTCAGCAGATGTCCACCTGCCTGCAGCAGAGGTGAGAGAGGCTCCCGCCACTGCCGCTGCGCTCACCACCCATGAACCCAGCTTCTGGCTGAGCGGTGCTCCCCCTGTGGGAGCGCACTGACCACCAGGGGGCAGCTCCTGTGCTGCGTACCTGCCCCCTGATGGTCAGTGCGCGTCATAGCGATGAGTTGTTCTGCCATTCGGTAAATTTGCATATTAGGGTTTTATTATATAGGCAGATATGTCCAATCCAGCATAATGAGATTTATGCAATCAATACTGGAAATTTAATAATGCTCCAGGTTTCTGATGCTAATAATAGTCTTCTGGTATTAAATACAAGTTATCTTCACTGAAATCAGGTAGTTATACCGCATATTCAAATGTATGTATATAATGTACACACACACCTCAATACACATATCAACTTCAACTATAAAAATTTTATTAGATTATACTGATCACACCTTAACAAAATGAGGTTATATACGTTTGTAGAAAAACAGTAAAAGAACAGACGATGCAATAAAATAAATTTGGTGTCTATCAAGCTAAGTATTCTGACACAATTTTCTCTGTGCTCTTACCAAGGTCTTTCTCCTTTAATTGAAGAACAAACTCATACCTCAGTCTCTAGATATTAGAGCAAGCATGTCAAACTCAAAGGCTAACATGGGCCAAATAAACAAGGTTTAAGTTTATATGGGCCGCAAAAAAAACAAAAGGTTTAATGTTCATAGAAACGTAGGTTTATTTCGATAGAGACATGTTGAATACCCAGGGCTGAAATAAATGAGTAATTGTTAACATAAAATAATAGAACATTTTAATAAAAATTAATATTTTTTCTTGAACATTAACTTACCAGACACTGAATAACTGCACAAATTAATAAGCATAACGTAAATAAACCTATTTTTCTTGTTCTCCGGGAGCAAAATATTTTCTGTTGCGCACACCAAGCAAGTCAGTACAAGACTAATGATGTGACAATTGGCTGTTAAAATATTCGCTGCTAGTATTAGTGGAGAGAAATGGTGCGCTGGCGAGTAAGGGAAATGAATTGCAACACGATTATAGTAATCAGTCATTAGCGAACGTTGTAGTTCATTATTAATAATTATGTGTAACAGGATATTGTAAAAATTAAGTTATGAAATTTTTATTAAAATGTTTCTTACATACCATTATATTGGCTGGGCCGCAAAAATATTTGTTGTGGGCTGCGATTTTGACATGCTTGTATTAGAGGAAGGCAAGGAAAGTTATATATGAAATTAATTCTCTATTACTTGAATTGATAAGATTTAATCATTTATAAAGCAAATAAAATCTGAAAATGTGTTTATGTCTTTTTATAAATTCTTTGTATTAATAGAAAATACATGTACCAATGCTACCAAAAAAGAAGGCAGCATACAGCAAAGGTGAATCTTTTCAATGTTATTTAATAAAATTAATTACCTATATACATTTACTGAATTGAACTCAGAGAAACTGCTTTAAGTTCAATGTTTATATTTTCTAATTTATTGCTATATTGTGAATACCAGATTCGAACACTATTTTTAACAAACTAAGTTATTTTAAAATATATAGCATGCACTATAGAAAAGATACCGTCCCCTCAAAGGAAGTACTTAATAGAAGTGAATTAGAAAAATGTTATTTGATTTATAGAAATGTACTGCATGATTTATGACAGCTATCCTAGAATATGTAGCTAATTAATTAATCTATAGAACCTTTCAATAAGAAAACTTTAGTACTTTCTTAAAACAAAGTTGTTATTTTTTAAGTATTGGCAAAATGTATATGCTTTGTTTTCCTGCAGGTAAGACTACTGCAACCATGACTATGCATTATTTTAGATAACCTTTTATCCCATTTCTCCCCATTCTCCTTTCTTTCCAAACACCCAACTGAAACTATGTTTCCAGATTTTTACACCATAAGCCTTTCAAAGAAGTGATCCTATATAAACTTCCACATATGAAGTTTTACTAAATGGATTTTTGGAGCTGAATTATTTTCCAAGGAAACATACACCTCCTACATACAGTTACTTTTAGAAAAGCAATTTTTGTGTTGACTAAAGAATGAAACTGTCTTCAACTTTTAAATTCTGCTTCATAAACTACCTTAATGCCGAAACTGTAAAGACCCACAGAAGTGTGACCTATTCCATTTACTCAACAAAACCAGAGGGACTTTGTGAAAATCACGATTCAAATGGAAATCAATGTCCAAGTGCTTTTGAACAGTAAGTTTATAAAATCAACAATTTATTATTTTAATAGTTCTGTTTTAAACTAAATTTGAAATGCTATTCTTGGCAAATTATTTACAAATTAGACATGGAAGATTGAAAATTCAGTTTTCCTTAAGTAAGTCAGCACATTACAGTAGGAGTCGTCAGACAGGAATTTTGGTTTTGGCTCTGACTTTAGATAAAGAACTAGAGATGTTAAGAGATTTGTAAGGAATTTACAATACTGTTCAGGGCTATACCACATAACCTCCAATATTACAAAAAGTTAAGAATTCTTTGCATTTGGCAATGGAACTGCATGGTCTATTAAGCAACATGCTAATCATTTTAACTACGTCTTTCTTACTAGAAAAAGCCCAAGCATTCATGGAACCAAGGATATATTGGGACTATACTTAAAAATTAGCCATGGTTAATATATAAAGACTAGAGGCCCGGTGCACGAAATTCGTGCACTCAGTGGTGGGGAGGGAACACCCTCAGCCCAGCCTGCATCCTATCACAGTTCAGGAGCCCTCGGGGGATGTCTGTCTGATGGCTTAGGCCCGCCCCCCATGGGACATCCTTAGCGCTGCTGTGGAGGCGAATGAGGCTCCAGCCACAGTTGCTGTGCTCGGTGAGCCTGGCTTCTGGCTGAGCGGCGCTCCCTCTGTGGGAGTGCAATGACCACCAGGGGGCAACTCCTGGGTTGAGTGTCTGCCCCCTGGTGGTCCTGAGCATCATAGTGACCAGTCGTTCCACTGTTGGGCTGAAACTGGCTCTCCAAAATCCCCCAAGGGGTCCCGGATTGCAAGAGGACGCAGGCCAGGTCGAGGGACCCCACCGGTGCACAATCGGGGTTGGGGATGAACTGCAGGACGGCTCCAGGGCATGTCCGGACAGTCTCGCTCAGTCTCAGTTGTCATCCGGACCCCAGCAGCAAGCTAACCTACCAGTCGGAGTGTCTGCCCCCTGGTGGTCAGTGCACCTCATAGCAAGCAGTTGAGAGGCCTTAGCATATCATTAGCATATTATGCTTTGATTGGTTGAATGGCTGACCAGATGACTGGACACTTAGCATATTAGCCTGGTAGTGATTTCTGGTAAGGTCATTTTGATTAATGCAATCTCATGTTATTTCTCATGTCTCAGAGATGGGACAGGATGAGTCAATAAAAATTCAAAGCATGAAAAATTTTTAAGCAATGGAAAAAACATAACTTCCTTGGCTTAAAAAAAATAAATCTGTAATTTCAGTACATTTTAATTATATGAAATCTATATTTCCACTTCCTTTAATCTGTGCAACTCTAAAGGGGCACTGTTTTTAATCCATTTAAATTTGTGACCCTGCAAGAGGGAATCGTTCAACAAATACATGTTCTGTGCCTATCACATATGTAAGTGTTCTGCTAAAAACTATGGGAACTAAAAAGAAGCAGACAAGAACCTTTCTCTCACTGAGCTTACAAGCTAACAATGGGTAAAATATAGGGTGGAACAAAAGTAGGTTTACAGTTTGCAGCATGGAAAAACAGTTTATTCTGGTATTATTTTATTTTTATTTTTTTGTTAATGCTCACCCAAAGATATTTTTCCATCAAGCCTGCAACCGAGGTATGTGACCTTGACCAGAATCGAACCCACAACCCTTCAGTCCGGGGGCCGATGCTCTAACCACTGAGCTAAACAAGCTAGGTCAGCAATAAATTATTAAAATTCTCCAGGGCTCAATTTAACCATATGTAAAAACAAAAGAGTTATGGGTACTACTCTCTTCAGGGTAAAAGTTTGTAAAGTATGAATTCCCCAAATACAGTAGAATTTATGAGTCATACACTACACCCACACAAGTGTCATAATAAATTCTCTCATAACAAATAATTCTCAAAACATAGTACTTAAAATGTTTCACTTAAAGTTGTCATTTCTTGATTTTTGTTTCTGATGAAAAGAAACATCATCAGTTACCCCAACTAAGAGGTCTGGACACAGAATAAATGGAAGTCCAGAGGAGACATGGTATAAGTCAAATATGCATTAGTGGCTTTAGTTATTTTTCATCAAATAATGGTGTCCTGTTTGGGCTTTCAGGGATATTTAGAAAATGTTGTAATTAAATAAGAATTTATGATGTCCAAGACAGGGACACCAAAAGCACAAGCAACAAAAGGAAAAATATATGAACTGGAAATCATCAACATTAAAAATTCTGGTGCCTCAA